TTGAGGTGAAATGAATTAAATTATCATCTTTTTGGCATATGTATAAAATATTGCAATAAAAAGTCAAAATATATCATATTTTCATTTGCAGTATTAGTATCAGTTATTGTAGATGTAGTAGAACCAAACTCACAATAAGAAGCTCTTGTTAAGAAATTGTATCAAATTACTCAAATAATATAGATTACACTCATCCGTTCACCAATTGTCGATATTTCTGTGTCCTTTGGCGTTTTCTTAAAATCCTCCCATGACTACGGCTCTAGGTGTTATTTAAATCTGCATTTAAAATTTCTTTGCAAGACATTTTTAGAACTATTTAAGAAAGCATCTTATTAAAATACATTTTACCGGCCATCATATGTTCTAAATTTTTTTATATCTTGGAACCCTTCCTCTTCAGATTATTGTGCTATGACACATTTAGCAGCTTTTGAAGAAAATCTAATATTGGTGGGACCATCATAGCTCCGAAAATAATGATCGTATAAGATTTTACAAAATACCAATCGATATCTTAAACATCTACCTATCAATATATAATGTTATATTTTTTAAATATTTAATAATTTTTTCTCTAAAAAATTTTTTTCTATTTACAATTATAACAAATAAAATAACAATCTATTTTGGCAGAGAACCCATGAGCCCAACCTTTACATACACTGCATTGAAAGTGAAACCAATCTTCAAAATTATGAAAATTTTAAAAATCCTGTTTACATATATATAATGCATATTTATTTTCTTAATTTTTTTATTAATGGTTTATTTTTATTTTTTATTAATAATAAATTTACTCAAAATTTATCTTATTCTATATTTAAATATATAACATCATTTGATTTTATTATCAGGCCAAAATTATAATCTGATAAAAATGTTCATATCCAATAAAATGTATTAATTTAAATCATATTATATTGTCTATTAAAATAATATATATATATAAATATTTGTTTGCTAGATATAATTCATTTTAAATAATTGATATTATTATCAGGCTAAAATTTATATGCTAAAATGTTCATATCTAATAAAGTATTAATTTGAATCATATTATATTATTTATTAAAAAAATACATATATATAAATATTTGTTTTCTAGATATAATTCATTATAAATAATTGATCTTATTATCAGGCTAAAATTTATAATGCAATATATATAATATCTGTGAAGACAATATATATTATATTATCACAATATATATATATCTCAATATAAAAATATATCACAATATAAAAATGTATCACAAAATATAAATATATCACTATATATATGAAGATTTTAGTTTGCAAGATATTTATTTAGGTCTGTATTATATTAAAATTATTATGAAAAATGCAATAAATTTATATAATAATTATTATTTTATATATTACATTTATAAAATATTATATTTTCCTGTGATAAATGGTGTTTATTAATGAAATATCATTTTCATATACAGTTAGTTTCTTCATAATCCTTTTTAGTAAAATTTTCTTATTTTGAATTTTGCATATATATTTGGACCATATAATATAATAAATTGATTGTTGCGCCGACTAGCCACCAGTGTTGTTAAACGCTACTTTTAAAAATAGCGCGCTATCGCTACCGCTATCGTTTTCAAATGAGTAGATCGCTATTAGCTACTTTGATTTTTTTTTGAAATATTTTTTTTTACGTAACTTTATTTCCACAAATAAAATATTGATATAAAAACATGACTATAATTTGTTACATATATATATATATAATTTATTTATTATTGCACTTTAATAATAATAACATTTCGGTACTGTCATCCCCAAGTCTAGAGCGACGATCAGAAAGTATAAGCTTTGCCATACTAAATAATCGTTCAGCACTTGAGGGCAACGCAGTATTAAATTTAATAAACAAACTTTTTATATGAAAAAAATCATCAAAAATATTTAAATTAGTATTTTTAGATTTAAAAAAAGCATCTAGAGGTTCAATAATATTATTATTATTATTTATTTCAAAAAAATCGTCTATGGAAGGCTGCGGTTTCGATCTTGCTATAGTATCGTGGTTAGGCATGCCATTTTTTAACGTTACCATCAGCCTATCAAGTTGCCCTTTAGATTCAGTCAAATTAATGTATGGCCAATTTAACTTGAAACTAGGATGAACGATAGCAGCTATTACATTATCATCACCATACAGATCTGGAAATCTAATTTATATAAAGCGATTGTATTTATTATAAAAAAAGAATAATACCATTTTAATTTTTAAAATTTAAATTTATCTGAGATTTAGATTCATTTATAAAAAATATATTAAAATAGCAATAAATTATGGTAAATAAAAATTTTAAAAATATAATTATTATACACAAGGTAATTAATAATATATTAATTTTGAATATAATATTAATTAATAATTACTTTATATTAATATTATAGATTGTGTTGTAAATTAAACCAATTTAAATTATGGCTAATCAAGCAATAAATCATTCATTTTATATAATTGTAATAGTAAATAAAAATAAAGTTTTGACCTTTTCTCAATGCCTTTTAGCATAGACTCTACTAGTGGTTGGCAAAATTTTAGATTATTGATTCTTTTGAGCTTGGTAATTAATATACTCAGTGTGGGCACATAATATCCCATGCTCATATTATCTTGCCCTTCTGAGATTTTAAGTGAGGCAGCAACATATTGCATAACCTAAAAAATTAAAATGGTTAAATATAATATAATATTATTTATTAATTAAAAATACTTCAGTATATTCTTTAGTAAAAGTATGCTCCTCCACATTAAAATATTGTATTCCCATTTGATCCAATATAATTCATTTCCATTTTTTTATCATCTAGAAACAATGCTAAAAGTTTCATAGCATTGCAAACACTATTCCAACTTATAGTGTTTGGTGTCAATAAATAACGTCCTAATTTTATTTTGAAAATATCAGACGTCTTTGATGACTTATTTTGTTTATTCCAAAGAGCTTGGCATTTAGAAAATGTAGATCTTGATACTCTTTTAAAATCCTCATTTAATAATGCTTCTTCAGCATCCACTGTCGCAACTAAATTTAGGTTGTGGCAGGAACAACGATGATGGCTAGGTAACATAGAAGACTTTATTGAAGATCCTAAATATTATAAATTTTGTTTTATATTGGTGAAAAATTAAATATAAAATAATTTAAAACCAAGGATGTCATGAACATCAATTATCTCAAACTCCATTTCATCATCCTCTTCTTGTTCTCCATCTTCAATATTTTTGTCAGGAATATTACTAGTATTGTTATTATTATTATCTTCCCCAAATATTCTATATTATTTATATCATATTATAAAAAAATTATAATAAATTGAAATTAGACCCATTATCCGTAATCATCTTACAAACCTTGTTTTGAATTTTGTAAGACCTATGGAATTCTGCAATAATATTGGCTAGAATGTCATAAGTCTGACAGCCAATTATTCTCTTTAGAGCTAACGCTACAGATTTTGGTTTAAGATTTTTAGCATCAATCCAATGTTCAGTTACTCCTAAATAAGCTCTAAAAATATGACATAAATCAGAAAATAAACATTTTTACCTTCTATTGTGAGTCCAGCAATCTGCCGTTGTACAGACGTAGAGACATCTGATAGATTTAATATCGAAGATTCTTTCATTTCCTTAAAGCTCTCCAAAATTGCCATCAATTGTTTGCCGGCAAAATATATTGGTCCGTGGAGAAAAAGTGTTTATCATCTTTATAAAAGAATCATTATCCACCAAGGATAATGGTTGAACTGTATCTATTATAAAGTTCATAATGACTTTGTCAGCCAATTTTTGGGATACATCAGGTGTTGATGAATCCAAATTGGTTAATTGTGTTTGTATTAAATTTGATTTGGAAGTGGGTTTATCTTCTTCCATTACCCCAAAACTTTTGAGATATTTTTCAATCTCTTTATAATTTAAGTGTGCACAGTCTAAAATTATAAAATACTGAGAATAAAAATTATGTAGGAGATAAGTACATAAAAATGATTGAAATAACTATTTAAAATGTTTTAAATAATTTATGTAAAATTTATGAATATATAAAAAAATGATTAGTTTTTGATTTTAATTTATTTAAAAAATTAAAGATTAGCCTACACATTGATATTAAATTTGTTTAATATATTACCTTTAAATGTTTTCTCAAATTAAAGAGGCTCGTATGATTTGAAGAGATAATTTTGCGGCACATCTTGCACCGAAACCGATATCCAGTATTAATTTTTTCTTCAAGGTTAAAGTATTTCTTGAATTTTGGGAAAGGATCATCTATATTTTGCTCATTTTCCAAAGAAATTTCAATATCTTCAACAATCTCACACATAACAAGATTTATAATGCTTAATATAAAATGTAAAATGAAATATAAAATAAGATAAAAGCAAGGACATACCAATAACGGAATTTCAAAAATATATAATTTAATGAATGCGCGAAATATAAATTAAATACAGATTGCTATTTAACAACTGTTTATATCTATATATATCAATAATGTATATTTTTAAATATAAATTTAAATTTCAAAATTAAATTAAATAAAAGGATTATAATTTTTAGTTTTATAAAAAATATATTTTAATAATTTTTAGATGTATTTATTATGTAAAATTAAAAGTAGCGAGCTACCGCTATCGCTATTTTTTTTAAAAAGTAGCGCGCTATAGCTACCGCTACTGAAAAAAGTAGCACGCTATTTTGACAACACTGATAGCCACGATTCTATTAACCTCAGTGGTGGTTACTACTAATCTGATCTTAACATATATTTAAGCATTATATATCAATCTGAAACTTTCCCAAAAATTAAAATAAATGTTTAACTTTCGTATAATGTCCATTTTGTCATATTTAAACTTTTAATTTGAATACAACTTAATAATTTTAAGTGATAATATTGTAATTTTGACGTCAAAAACATGACAGATAATTTAATTAGCTAAATATAATAAATTATTTTCATCCCCAAATATGGATATTATAGAATTCTATTTTAGAACTAAATTTCAATTTCTAATCGTTACTGGTTTTAAAATAAAATCTTTTGAACCGTCAAGTCCCTTGCGCCGACTAGCCTTGGTCTCCCCTATACATTATTAATAAAAAAAAAAAATTTGTTAAATTAATATGTTCTCAGATTAAAAAGATCCCTCAAAGAGTGACTATTATATATATTACTAATTTATCTCATCAACAACACCTTAGAAAGATACCGTAGCCAGATTATTATTTTTAGCATTTTTTACACCTTATCCTGAATTAACAGTTAGAGGAAATTCTAGGCTAAGTATACAAAAATGAATGCAATCATATTTTGTATACTCCCCCGCGAATTCGCCCTAACTATGAAGGCAGGGATAGTCAATTGCAAAGTAGGAACGAAAATAATAATGTATAACATATTCGATATTATCTACAACATTTAGATTGCTTAAGTGGGATTGATAAAGAAAGACCAAAACTTTAATCAAACTCTTTTTAAAAGTTATATAGTTTCTTTCTTCAAATATATACATTCTTCAATATTAATTAGGAATGAGAAAATACACTATTTTTTTAAAATAAATCATTAAATGTTTAAGAATACTAGAGATCTGCAAAGATAGGCCACACCCGTACCCTGTCAGAACCCTCCCTTTTCATAATGGAACTCGGGCCGGGCCAAATATCTATTTAAAAATATTGTACCCAGGTCATGATGTATAAATTTTGAATTAAAATTGATATATTTAAAAAATTTTGCCAAAACATAGAAACAAGGCGCCATTTTTTTTTTTGTAAAATGATCAAAAACTGGATTATGTTCAGTGCTAAAATGTAAAACTTATATTAAAAAGTTAATTATTTTCTATATTTAAATAAATTTGTGGACTCTATAAAGCTATAAATATTGTATATGCATAAATGATTGTATGAATCATTATAAATATCCAAAACAAATCAATGAGCACCAATAACGGCAAAAATGGTCAATGAAAAAAATATATAGAATTGATCTATTTTTCGTTTAAAAACTTTTTTATACACTATTTTATAACCATTAAAAATTATTAAATTTAAAGTTGTTCCTGTTTAAACAAGATTTCCAAAAGTTTGTTGAGAAATAATAACCAATGTCAAATTAAATTGAAAGAAAAGAGAACTGAATTACTCTGCTCTAAAGATGGTGAGTTTTCTTGTAATGAGAGGCATATAATCATTTAAATTATTTCAGATCTTGATTATTTTTAAGTTTTTTTTAATTGTTTGTTGTTATTGATTATATGGAGAAGTAAGATCTTTCAGAACGGAAGAGTTAATTATCTTATTATTGATATTGCTATTTTATTGTTTTTTCCATTTAAAATTTTATTAATGCATCTTAAGGAATTTGATTATATTATATTATTTAACTCTAATCAAAATTATCAGTAATTTCACTCCGGCATGCTTAATCAAAATTTTAAACTATTTTGAATAGAATTCACAAATTTTTGTCAATAATTTATACCTTTTGATTTATCCTTGGCATGTAATCATGATTACACTATAGAGATACTACAATAAAAAAGTGACATAATTAAAAATTCATTAGAAGCCTAAACTATAAGACAAGAGCGCCAATTTATATATCGCCAAATTTACTCACAATGCTAAAGTTTGATTATAAATACTCCTCCCTCATGTTTAGAAGAGATACATTATCAAAATAATAAGGCTAAAAAACTAATCGATATTCAAAGCATAACACTCTCCATATTAGCAATAATAGTTGCTATATTATTAGATTACATAACCTACAATTCTGAAACGTGAAGAGGAATAAACTGCTATAAAATCCTTAAAATATTAACTTGACAATAGAAGTGACTCAAGGGACAAGGGGTGTTTAGGTAATACATCCTGAAATATCTCAGTTATGGAGTCAATATATTTGCAGCTTGTAATAATTCAATGAACGAGAGTGAATAAAGTTCAACCTGATGGATGATTTTAGGATTAAATGGCAGAATGCAGTGTTTTTCGAGGTTAACGTTTTATCCATTCTTTTATACAAACTGATAAAGGATTATAGGCAAAATGATTTAAGGGTGTGAATCCAGAATGAAGTAGACAGAGTATACTAGGATATTTTATATTTTTAGAAAAATATCCAAGTTACCTTGCATTCATGGTCGGCGTGAATTCGCGGCCAAGTATACAAAATATAAGATATAAATATATTAATTTTACATTAATTTTTGTATAACTGTGAATGCAGGGTTAAGTGAGAATGTATAAAGTAACAATTTCGAGGTAAATTGTTTTTTACTTAGGCTTAAAAACTGGTATGGTATTAATTTAGAATTCAAACCTATATAAGCGAAATTTATAGGTTAATGTTAAATATCGCATAGTTAACATACAGCAATTTACTAAACAACAAAGCAAATTTGTTAAACAACCAATTTAAATAAAATGTGATAATACCCAATTTTCATATAACTAAACCTACCCCAAGGAAGAGACCTAGTTGACTTCAGAAAAAAACATGGTACTTGCTTTTAGTGAACTGCATCGGGCCTAATTTTTCAAGCCCGGCCCAGGCCCGAACCCGAAAAAAATTTTTTCCGGTCAGGCCCGAATTTATTTAAATATAGAAATTTATTTTTATAATTACTCAAAATAAACGATATGTGTTATTTGGCATCTACTTTCTATAAATAAAATCATATATTTTTATTTTACATAATATATTCATAAAATTGATAAATTTAGATATATTTTAGAAAATTTCTAAGGCTTGACCCGACCCAATCCAAATTTTATTAAAAATATTAGGCTCGGGGCCGGGTTCGGGCCGCCTATTTTTGCAGATCTCTACTTGCTTTATTCAAACCCAAAATTATGGAATTGAGATAAACGCACTCAATCGACTAGGTCAAAGACTCAATTCGAAAAAAACTATTTTTTAAAATATAAATATTATAAATAAACATTGATTATTTCTATTGTATCAAATTTGTTAATAAACAATAACTAAATATATAAAGAATAGGATCAAAATTCAAAACTAAGTATATAAAAATTAGGAGCTAAATAAAGATAATGGGACAGTTATTTTATGATTTGAATCTCCAAATTTTTGAAAAAAAATTTATTTTTAAATTTAATAATGAGGAATTTATTTTTAATATTGAAGAATTTATTAATTTCTGAAAAATATTGTTTTTAGGTTAGAAGGTCATTTTGTTATTTTTAAGAAATGGGATTTTAAATTGCATGCTAACAGAGTTTGAAAAAAATCATCAAAAAGTTTTTGAACAATTTTTTATAATAAACCTTTGATTTCATATGCATGTAAATTACAAATTTACTTATAAAAGATTTTTTAAAAATTTTATTGGCATTTATGGGTAAAATTTAATCAAAAATTTCTCTTCTTCAAAAAAAAATCTTCAAATATATTTGGAATATTTTTTCAAACCATGACTAAAACTAAGGGATACTTATATTTTAAATTTTATCTTGTCATGTTTAAGTAATAAATAAAATATTATATTTATTTATATTGAATTTGAATTATTGGGATAGATCGTTTTATAATAATATATTTTTTTCGCGATAATCGATTTTCAATTAAAACTGATTTTTCAAATTATATAAATTACTATTTATTAGAAATATTGTTTTAACTTTATTTTTTTGATAAATATATCAAGATACATTTTATATAAATATTTTATTGCTTTGAAAAATAAAACAATTAAATAAAAGTTTTTTTTAATTAAATTATCATGATACTAAAATATTAGATAAAAATTTATTAAAAAAAATATCCCTTATAATTTTTTTAAGAACATACAGATGAATAAAACTTTCATAAGGTTATCATCATTCGGTTCTTCATAGCCGTAATCTTATTAAAAAGTGCTTGTCCCAATATTCTATTTAACGATTATGATTATATGTTGACTTAAACATAACGATAGAAGTTTCAACCAAAGATAATTATTAAAATTAAAAGATAAAATTTTAAACAAATTAAGATATATTACAAATCGTAAAATAAAATAAAACAAAATTTGAAATTTAATTTAAAGTTTTATTAGCATTTTAATTTTATAACTTTTTATTAATATTAGTATAGTAAAAATTTACAATTATACAATTTTACATAACTTTTTTTTTTTAATATTTAAAATTATTCCTCAAATAATTTGGTGATCCACAAAATATATTAGCCTAAAATTTATATTATATTGGAGTTGAACTTTTTTTGGGAAATCTTTAAAATACTATCTGTGTATCATACTAATTAATTTTTATAATTTTTTAAATACAATTTTCTTCACTACGAATGGTCAGTATATACCTAATTTTTATGGCAAGGAGTTTTTATTATTATTTATTCTTTATATGATATCCCATTTTTTTGACAGCAAGAAAAGGCTCACTGTCAGATTTATAGTCATCAATTGAAATGATAAATCATTAAATTTCATTTAAATAATACATATAATTCGATTCGAATAGAAATTCTGTATTCAACACGAGTGTGTTCGACCTTCGATTATTTTATATTAACTTTAGAATATAATAGAAAAAATAGATGAAAGTTTACAGGTGACTGAGTGAAAAGATAATTCTGTAAAGGTTTGAAAATATTTAGGAAATGGTTCATAAAACTAGAAAGATGGAAGGAAGGGATATAAATCTGGTGATCTTGGTATAATGGATACAATTATTATGGATTGTGAGATATGCATCATAATTTTTAGCAATTAAGAAAAAACATGAAGGTATGGAATCGGGAATAACAGAAATGGTAATGCCGAAATAGCAAATTTCATAAAAGTATAGAAGTTTCAGGCATTAAAGATTATATGAGGGAAAGTTAGTTTGGGATACGAGGAAAGAAGAAGAGATTAGGCACATCTAAAAAAAACAAAGCTGTTGATGAAAGCATGATTGAAAAAGAGGGAGGCTTTTAATATGGAAGGATTTGGTAAAGAAGAATTTGATTATCTTTATAAGTTATAGATAGAAACAGACGAAAAAAGAGAAGAATAAAATAAAATTAGAAGGAAATTCTGAAGAAGATAAAGAAGTTAGGATACTAAATATATTACTTCGTTTGACTTTATCCCGTCAATAATTTGACACAACCCGAATATTTAATAGGTTCAAAAATTCACTGTTGAAATCGCTTATAAGTTATTTTATTTTTTTTGGTTAGTCTATATTATAAGTTGGAGGATAGGCATAGTCAAGGAGATCTGAAATATTCTATAATTGAAATTTTTTAGACATAAGCCCGTGTCCTCTTCTTATTTTTGAAGTTTATTTCTGTTTAAACAACTCTAATCAGATTTTGAACTAGGAAACCCTATTCTGTTTTAAATGTGTTATGTGAAATCTAAATAGCCTTTTTTGAGAAGGCTAAATTGACGGCTCAGATTTTTGTTTGAAAATAAAACGATTCAGGACACGGCCTAAACATCTTAATAAACGATTAAGGTGTAAAACAACAATTATTTTAAAAAACATATAAGCTGGGACCTGGAAAAGTAAGCCTAAAGCCATATCTCCAATTAATTCATAGAGGGGCAGCTAACTAAAAACTCTTCTTACCACAATCCTGGCTATGAGTAAAGGTTTTAGGTATCTATTATAATTAGTAAATTCTTATATAAGCATTATTTTAAGATTTATAGTGATTTTTTTCCCTATTCCCAATTTATTATCTTGCTAATATATGAAATACAGACAAAGGGCGTAAATTATTAAATGTTTACATTTAAAAAAAGTGTAATAATTGATGGTCATTCATTATAAATATACAAATAATTATTTTTTTTAAATAAGGAAATTTTTTCCTCGATTTATAAGTATCTTGTATTTAATAAAACATAATTATGTATTTTGTTTAAATTTATCCTATATCCCCTTTTATTCATTCCTTATATATGTACACATAAATATAATCAATTGTACTATTGTTGTTAAAAAGAAACTTTTTTAAAAAATAATAAGATATTTTATATAAATCTTTATTCTTTCGCCTTTTATAATTATCATGTTTTTGATTTGATTTTAGACGGTTGCACGAGGAGAAATATGAAACAATATTTCTTTTTAAAAAAGTTGAACTATGAACTAGTGTTGATAAATGGCTTAATTTAAAAAAATAGTGAACTAAATATTTTAGCCATAAAAATATTACGCAGACCTTGAGATTTTGTTCATAGGTGATAGAAAGGTTTTCATATCTATTAACAAAATATTAAGGTTTGCGTAAAATTTTTTGGCTAAAATATTGGGTTAGTCATTTTCAAAAATTGGGCGTTTTAACACTATAAACGGTGATAAGGAAAAAGCTTGTAATTAAACTTGACCAAAAAACTATTGATAAAAAATCTTAAGGATAAAAAATTTTTAAATGCTAATTTAAAACATTTGATCACTAGACCTGAATTTATAAAAGAAATTGAAACCTCACTTATCCCTGTCCGATAGGAAAGACCTGATGGGCTCACAAACATTTCTGTTTAAAGATAAACACCTTATTTGGCTGCCAATTTTCCTCTAACCCAAACATAGAACCTATTATTACAGCCGAAAGGTCAAAAATTAGAAAGTACCACGACTTTTCAGATTTATAACTCAAATCACCATGTTCCGAGGCAACTAGCTTAGTTTCCTCAGATCTCAGTAAGAGCCGTCCCCACTCTTATATGTTTTTTAAAATATGTTCACTTATTTTTCAAACATTTTTTTCATCAGGTATAAGAATTATATAAAAAAAAATTAATTAGACAAGTTATTATCATTTGTTTGGAAATAAATATAAAAAAAATTGCTGGTAACATTACCCAAGAAACCGATTTGGAAAAACGTTCTGTCTGGAAATCACCTTATATGAGTATTATTTTTGCATAATGACCTTCCTAAAACAATATAAGATAAAACAGAATTATAGGTGTACTATTTGTTGAGTTAGATTCAGCTAAAGCATAATACTTATACTTATGATTTTTGGAATAGTATATATGTTTATTATGACAAGAAACTTTAAAAAAAATATGAGTTTATCTTATGATTATGAATGTTAATTTTTAAATTACTATAACCTGCATGTTTGAAATGTTTAACGCCTTTGATGTGATTTCACGTTCTTGAGGGTTTTGACGTAGTTTCGGGCTTTAAATGTTTTCACGCTTCTTTTATCGGTTTATGCTCTTATGAAGCATCGTAGAAAAATAATTAAAATAAAAATTCTACATACTATTTATATTCAAAATTTATAAAACGAGATCTGATATTAATTGTGTATATTTTTTTAAATTTATCAATATATATTTTGCTTAGGAGTTAGGAAGGAGGGTGTTGCTTATTAAAAAAAAAATTTAAAAAAAAATAGACTTCGATTTATTATTATATTAAAATATTTGAAAAATCTAAAATAAAATATGATTTTAATTGAATTAAGAAAGAGAAAAAAAAAGAAATAGGATATTAAATATTTTTCCAAAAATAATAAAATAATGTATTTTTGTATGTGTATATATCCTAATACGACTTATTAGAGATTTTATTATACTTATTATTATGTGCTTTTGTTAATAAAAACAAATTTGATTTTCAATTTTATATTATCTATTTTATTAAAATATAATTTATCAAAAGATAATTTATATTATATTATATTTACTATACTAAATCTAATATATAATGTACGGTAATGATAAAATTAATATTTACAAAAAAAAATATCAACAGAGAAATTTCTAACTAGACACAAATTATATTTAATTTATATTTTTAAAGATTTCAAGTTTTTTTTCAAAAAAAAAAACGGTGGGGACCCCTTATGTTACAATATCATATACATTATATATTATTGTATAAATATTATATTTTATAATTTTTATAACTTTAAACTTTAAAGGGTATTATATATAAAATTAACAAAAATCTTATTATTTCGGGTTTCTTTTATATATGTAAAAAATAGGAACTTAAAAATTAAAATTTTTAATATACACATTAATTGATTTTATAATTGTAGGAAGAATTCTGATAATTTTAATTAGTTATTATATTTTTTTTAAAAAAAATAATTAAATTTTGAAGCCCTATTCATCCAATAATAATAATTTAATAAAATAATTTTTTGTAAAAGATATAAAAATTTGTATCTAATAGGGAAGAAAAAAAATTAAGGTTAAAAATCATTTAATTTACATTAATATATTTTAGTAAATTATTATTTTTTTAAAGAAAATTATTTTTGGTGAGATATATATTAAAAGAATGAACTATCAAAATGTATGCCAGTATTATATGGCCAACACCGATGGAATACCAATTAACACTGAAGTTTTAAATCATTCCGAATTTAATAATTCCATTTCCCCTATAAATTCTGAAAATCCTCACCAATTTTCATGGTATATTTCTTTCAATTAAATAAGTTATAATATTTAATAAATTCTTCAAATATGCATAATACCTTGGTTGTTTATGTTTTATTTAAATGAAATAAACTGTCAAGGTGTAATGAGACAAAAAAGTTCGAGCCATATATTTTTCTGCTATCTATGGGAAGATAATAATGTTCCACTTAACATTTAAAAAAATTATCATCATAGATGATTATAAACAGAAATTATTATATTAATCATATAAATGATTTCTTCTTACAATCATGTAAAATATTATTAAAATTTATTATTGCAAAATATATACATAAGGGTATATCCAGAGTGAAACTGGGTTATAGAGGTCCATTTAACTTCAAAAGATAGTTATATATAAGTCATAATCTTATTTTATTATTCTGACTTATAGGCAATAGTTTAAGAAGATATATATATTTTTTTGGAAATAATTTATTTATAATAAAGAGAAAAGCCTGCTTAAATTTTAGCCATATCCCATATAAAATGAGGCATTTGTTGAAGTTAACTTGGTTTCAAAGCCCGAACTAATGATAAAATTTATCGCATCTTAAATTTAGGGTATAAACTTAGGAGAGCTCTGTGAATGTAAAAATAGAGATCCTACAACATGATGCCTTAACCCTCAAATAATAAAACTGCTGGAATTTATTTTCGGAGATTTTTATAATATAAGAAAACGTTTTCAGCAAATAAATGCAATTTTACCAAATTCAAATCATTTATTTAGATAGTTTATTAAAATTAATAATTTAAATAGTATTTCCAGCAGTTCATGTAAGATACCTATGATAAAAGTTTAAGTAGTATTTTAGTTGCATAAATTGACTAAATCCAAATATCACTGATTAATCGTATGATGGTAATTTTTTAAATTATAAGGCAAAATTTTAACCACCCCGGTCTCATACCATCCCCGGTTTTCTTCTTTTTAATTAATTTTAAAATAATTTTTTTCTTCTTTAAGTCATAATAACATAAATGCTTTAATAAATCAACTAAAAAGGTTTTTAGAAATTTCAAAGAATAAAATGATAAATAAATTCTTTAAATCAAAAGACAATTTGATATCATATTTCGAACAGGTGAATATAAAATGAATATCAAAATATATATATTTTAAAAAGGGAATGTGTTCAAAATATTTTTATATTCACATTTTAAACTTAATATATTTCAAATTTATTAAGGGAAATTCTTTATTTTATAATATACCAACTTTCTTTAGCTTCTCTCCAGTATAAACCTCTTTCATTTTTAAAAAATAGGAGGAAATAGATTGTTTTTACTAACTCGGGTTATGAATATATATCTTACTATGTAGAATAAATGTTGTGTATTCTTACTTTGAAATATTTCTAATTAAATTTGTTTTATGTATAAAGTATGGTTGTCATTTGACAGAATTTTTTAATCGTCGATCTGATTTTAAAAAGTAGCATTAAAACTTGGACCAAAGTACTTAACGAATTATAAGGGAGGTGTGAATATGTTATAAAAGATCGGAATATTTATTAATCTTGAGGTTCTCGGTTGTGTCGATAAAATTGGTAAAATCGAAGGAAACAGGAACACCTGAGTCATTGTAACACCATTCGGACGTAGGTTATTAAAAAATAGAGATCTGTTAGTTAAATCTGAATTATATCTCTAGCCTTAAAACTAGCTATTAATGTATTTATTGTTCTATGTCGCAAGCAGTGGTATAGATAAATGGGGGGAGGGGAATTTAAGGTTGAAACCACCTTTTTCATAACCCCCGAAATCTTTTATTTAAAAAATATTTAATTATAAATTTAATAATATAATTTATAGTTGAACAAAATTAAATATTTATAAATCTATTAAAACTTTTATTTATTGCTTGGGCAATATAGAAATAGTTGGAGGTTTATGAGCATTTAGAAATAGACTTTCCCAAGGTTGAGCGCTTTGTAACTAGAAATAAACCTTTTAGAGTTGTAGGAGGATATCCCTAAATTTAAGTTTAGATTTGTATCAAAAGAAGGAACTTCATTAGTAACACGTGAGATTGTCGAGTTTTATTAATTATCACTTAAAAAATCAATTTTATCAAATTCAAGTTTTTTTCATCCAAAAAATTTACGAAATAAGCCTTCCACGTAGTATTGGCGAAACAATACACTGACGAAGATGTAGAGCAATAGTATATTAATAATCCATATCATCTTAATATTTTATAAAAAAATAATTTTTAAAACGCACTTCAAATATATACTAAATTTAAACACGAATAAAGTATATATATTTGTAGTTTAAAGAATTACTGTCTAACTACCATAAAAGAATATTGTATAAAATAAATTTTTTTAAAATTATAAGTTGTGATTGCCTTTTTATTTATATACTAAGTAGGACACCTTATTAGTTTGCTTTCAATTGATGGAAAAATATTTGGTAGACTAATCTCAGCCTTCATCAGAACCTAAAAAATCCAATATAGTATAAATTATTTCAAATGAGGAGGAGGGGGGGGGGATTAAAAATATCAAAAGCAAATGAGAATTAATTAATCCATTATACTATTTTCCAACTGTTTAATTTGATATATAATTCGAATTTATTTTACAGAATTACTCGGGTAATTTCTTTTACTATTAGGCCCAGATTTGCCGGGGGTTCTTGGAAATTTATTTTATTCTTGAGCCCGTATTTGTAGTTCTTCGATTTTAATTTTTAACATCTAAAATTTTATTTAAAATATTTAGAAACAAAATTTAAAATTTTAACCTCCAACTAGAACCAATTTCATTTTGTTATAATTATAATTTTGAAATATTTAAATAACGAAATAAAATTTATACTTGACATGTAAAGTAAATTAATCTTCTATCCACTCTAAAAGTCGTCATATTATGATGCAATTATCATTGTAATGCTTTTTCTCGCAATATATTTAAATTTTTATACAGCTATTTTATATATTTTTAAATTAAATTCAGATGAAATATGTAAATATATTTGCGACCCTCCTTCCTCCTCCAAAGTACCGTTTAGCAAAAGTTTTCTAGTTATGGAAAACTCTTTTGAAACATCTAAAAATGAATATGAATTTAAAGCGTGTATAATTTTAATTCATTAATAAAATATCCACCAGGTAGGCCTTGTATTTAGAAAATCGAACTGGGCAACCTTAGCAAAAAATTGAAACCGGCCGGCAGGATCGGGCAAAAGATTTTTACCAGGCCGGACAGGGCTTGAGTAATTTGTCATTAGCAAATATCTCATCGTTATTTAAAAAAATGATATATACTTATACTAATTTTTTTAAACATGTTTATACATTTTTATTTATTTATTTTTTTTTGGGGGGGGGGGAGAGGAGGAAAGGGTGGGGAGGGGGTGTATAGGGGTCAAATTTTTATTAACCTATAAAGATATTTACTAGAATAGGCTTTCGGAAAGGGATATTTCCCTTTGCCCCTCTTCTTGGCGATATCTATGTACATAGGAATTTCAAACAATTTTGTACAATATATACGAAATTTCTAAAAAATTAAAATTTCCTCAAATATTTATCAAGAAACTGTCCGAATTTATAGGGAAGGTATTCTACACATATTGGAATACATTCCCGGCAAACAGGGGCTTCACTAGCCTTTACAATCTTGCAGTAAAAAATATATTTAAATTATTTTCAAATTTACATTTTTTAAAATTATTTTCAAACTTATTTTTTAGCTAACTTTTTCAAAATTACATTTGATATAAGAAAAATTCAAAATTTTCAGGGGGCTCTTCATATTTTTCAAGGAGCTTGAGCCCCTCGCCCCCTCCTCCCCTAGTGACGCACTCCGGCAAAATCAGATGCTCTTATATGATTTAAAAATATAAAAACATACATCAAATTATTGCCTTATCTTAATTTCTAATAAATGAAATTTGCAAATTTTTTAAAAAAATATCTTACCTAAAAAAATTTGAAAGAAAATATATACCAATTGAATTATCAACAAAATATTTTTACAGATAAATTATTATTTTTAACCTGTTTTTTAAAAAAAATTAATATTTCATAAAATGATAGGCAGAGTCGCCTGATTGACAGATAACTATATTCGATTTTATTTTTGATATCTCGTTTTCTGTTCTAGCTTTGCCAACTTAGTTATGAATTTTTATAAAAGAATTCGTTTGCTAAAGTATGCTAATAATGCTATAGGGTATATTAATAAAATTTTCAGACCATAAATAAAAAACATTGCGCTTATATAATTCTTATAATGAGAACTGGTTATTATTAATTTTAGTAAGGTATCTTGGGTAAATATATAGTGATAATACGAATTCCTCTAATTCGATGAGAGAAGTCGTAAATAATTTGGTGAAACGCTAGAACAAAATATTATATATTTTTTAAATAACATAGAACTCTTTGAAACTTAGTGTTTTTCTTTAAATCTAATTAGAAACATGAATGAAAAAAGACAATATGCGTCTAAAAAAGCTATAGAATGTATATACATTATTTTGATTTATATTCAAAATTTAAAAATAACCAAATACGTTGCTTATTCTTCAAATTACATATTCGTACTAATTATCTGTTTTTAACAACATATGGGGAGGGCAGAGATTCAGTAAAACTTCGCATACGCCTAAAAAAAAGAATAGAAGACTTGTGCAATCTATCTGTAGCATTAAATAAATTGATAATTAGAAGGAACATCCGCTTGTTTTCTCATTATGTAGATTTTACTGTGAAGTACATTAAAACACCCTAAAAGTGTGAATTATTTTATGTCATCAAAATATTAAGACAATTATGCATAATTCTAAGATATCAATGAAGTAAAAATTAAATTAATCAGAAGGGTTATATATTATAATTGATTTTGCATGAATTATATCTAATATAAGTTAAGTATAATACTTGAATGGAATATTAAAAAAATTTTAATTGCAAATTTTGCTATGTAAACATAAATGTTAAAGAAGTTTTTATGTACATTTATTTTATATCGTCAATAAAAACATGAATAATATATATTTTTTAATTAATCCTATTCTTTCGTATATTTTTAAATAATTCTTAAAATCGATATTTGCATAATATCAATATATCTAATGTAATAACATATAAAGATGTAACAAAGGGATGCCTCTGGGCCACTGTATTTCATATAAGAAAAAAAATTGAGGCTTTCCGTTACATCATTGAAGTTTATTCTATTAATTAATATTTCCCCATATATGTTCATAATAAAGTTTCGGTTTTGTTTAAGTCTTCGAAATTGGGACAAGTTTTAATTTTAAACATTACAAAAATTTTATTTATTTTACACATTTATGAAAATTTAAAATGATTAAATTGACAATAATATACAAAATTTAGCAATTTTGGAGATTGTAAATATTACAAATTTGACATTTTTTTTCTATATTTATTTTAGCTCATAAGTATGGGTATGGTTATAGCTAAGAGAGGATCCCCTCCCATTTGTAGAGTTTCCTAAATATCATTTCCCAAGATAAAATTCAAAAATTGATTTAGTTTATTATCATAATAATAATAAAATAGTTTATTCCCTTAGAAAAAAAAATACTATTTAATTCGTGTTGTTAAACGCGAGATTTTTAAATACGGCAAGTCTAATTAGTGATCTGCATCGGGCCAATTTTCCAAATCGGCCCTGGACCCGATCCCAACAAATTTTTTTATGATTTGTCCCAGCCCGACCAGAAATAAAATTATTTGTTGTCCGGTTCGGCCTTAATTTATTTAAATATGAGAAAATTTTAATTTGTATTTTTGATTGTAAAAAAAATATTAGCCTTGTTTCTTGCATGAATTTTAAAATGTATCAATTTATTTGGCAAAATGTAATATCATATTTAAAAAAAGCCCTAGTCAGCCCAGCCCGAATTTTCTTAACAAATATATGGTCCGACCCAGCCCGAACTTAAATTATTTTTTAAAATATTCAAGTCTGGAGATCGCTTATAGATGGCAGAGAAGTTTCGGCATCTATTAACGAAATTTCGAGGATTGCGCAATATTATTTCCGCTAAATCGAGCCGTTTAACAACACCATACTTAATTAATAGATATATTTTCTTTTATAAAAGTGTGTTAGAGTTAAGGAAAGAAAGGTCAAGAGATGCCGCCCGTAGTCGAAGAGGTAAAGAAAATCACGAGTTCAATCAATTAGCTAAAATGTTACCTTTGCCACACGCAATAACCATGCAATTGGATAAGGCTTCGATTATAAGGCTAACTACTGCCTTTTTAAAAATTAAGTTTTTCTCCTATTTTGGACAGCCATCGTGGACCAAAAATTATCCAAATGTTAATAACAGAACTTTGGGTTGTAAAATATCCGACTTTAAATGCCCAAAAAGTTTTAATAATAATAGTAAAAAATTGGAAGATATTCAAAGAATTCAAAGATGCAGTGCCGATTACAATATGGGCACCTCAGAATATACGAATGGATGTATTGCTTCTAGAAGTGGGGAAGGTATAAAAATATTTTTAAGGCATATCATGAATCTTTTAAAGACCAAGAAAGAAAATTGATTAAAATTTTATAAAACATACTTTTATCAAAAATAATAATAATAACTATTATAAAGATTTTTTTTTCTTTGTAAGGTGATCAAAAATGGAAATCGATGCCTCTCTATGTTAAAGAAGATATCCACCATATTGAAAATAACCATGGAAATAATATATTACAGGTAAAATATAAATATGATTGTGAGATAAATCTTATTTATCAATATATAGCCGATAGATGAACCTATTTGAATTTAATACGATCAGACTAGGAAAGACATTATCTTTGACTGGGTCGGATCAAATTTTAATTTTAAAAGTTTAATTTGATCGGCGAAATTTTAAATCATTTTGTTTTCCCTAATGTGTATTATTTTTCCTAAATATTCTTTACAACATGTTTTAAATTTTCCTTTTTCATTGAAAATACCCTACTTTTTCAACAGCCTATTAATAATTATTTAAAATTACAGTTTAAAAAAATTTAGAAAATTTAAATGAAAAAAAAAATTTCAAGGCATTGGATGGCTTTGCTTTCGCCCTTTACAACGATGGACGTATCTTGTACATATCAGAGACTGTTTCCATATACCTAGGATTATCCCAAGTTTTAAAAATTGATTTAAACTTTTTAAAAATATCATAATTTATTCTTTTATATAAAACGAAAGGTGGAAATGACCGGTAGTAGCATATTTGATTACGTTCACATAAAGGATCAGAGAGAGATGGCCAAAAAAATGGGATTAGATTTAAGATGGATTTGCTCTACGTCTCCGAAATGCTCTTACAAATCCGATGAGAATGATCAAAAGTTTTCAATTAATACGACCTCCTCTCAAAACTCTTACAAATACAATAAAATAATACCATCGCCTATTCAATTCTCCGACGATCAAAACAATTTATTCCCTGAGATAGCCTTCAGTGAAACGAGTTTGAAAATATTTTTTATTTTTTTTTCATTTATCGAAACTTACATTGCTTCTCTTATATAGTGGTCAGTCTTGCTGCTAAACCAGCTAACTAACTCCTCTTCTTTCTTTTTACACGAGAGACGAAAAAAAAAATAGTGTATTTAAAAAAAAAATATTCAAAGATTTTTTGAAGATTTCTTTCGCTCAAAAGTAATATCTTTGAAGATCACAAAAATATATTTTTCACAAGATCAATATATAATATATATATATATTTTTTTAAAAAAATTGTGATTTCATCATGGAACATTTTTTACGCATAAAAATCATAAAAGATTTACTTACAAAAGATTTTTTTGATTTTGAATTTTAGATATAATATTAATCAAAAATCCTGCTTGATCATTCTCAAAAAAAATCTTTAGTAATAAAAATTTTTTGAAGATATAAAATGGATAATAAAAAATTAATTGTGATTGAAAACTAGGGCTCGCAAAAACCTCTAAATATCAAAAAACTTCTTCAAAGAGCCCGATTTCGGTGAATATTTTACCATGAAGTTATTTTCGCGAATTTATTATAGTAAAAACATTATTGCCAATGCATTTTCAAGATGCAGTTTTAGTAAAATTAAGCAAAACATTTATATTTATAAATCGTCCATATAAAGCTTTGTGTCAATCAGTAATAAAACAGATATTCTAGTGCTGAGTGAGATAGACCTAGAATATGATCTTACAGTGGTCCAGACTACAGGCCTTAATCCTGAACATGGAAATTCAAAGCCTTTAATCGATAATCCAACCAAATATCGAATATATATGCTAACCCTAGTAAAGGCCTTAGTTTTGGAATGCATTCGCAGTAATATTGTACTTTAATAAATCAAGTATTTCTGATAATTTCTTAATAATACATTTGATTTCATTCCAATAATGTCTTCGCGGAAATGCATTTCCGATTTCTTTAATATTTTTGCTATAATAATTTCACACTAAAACAATGGGAAAAGATTAATGGTTTGACTTGGGATTTCTACCTTTAAGAGTAACTTTTCATGCAGCAATTTCTTTTTTAAATAAAAAATAATAAAAACCATTTAAGACATATTTTTTTTTCTGAAATATTGTGAGGAAAACTTTTTTAAAATAATAAATGTAAAAGTATAAAGAAGTATAAAATATTATTTTCTTTAAAAATTATCAAGTATATTGCGTTTAGAGACTCGCCCTGATCTCCGATTCTTCTATTTATTTTTATATTAATAGATGGATGTTGGTATCTATATCAATTTTTTTTTTCAATCAGTTGGAACGATGAAATGCAAGGAAAAATTTAACAAAGTGTTCTGTGTTCGAATGAAATCTACTCTGAGTAAACGAGGCAACCATGTGAGACAATCTGGATATCGGGTGAATATTATTTACATAAATTGCCAGTTAGAGAATCTTTAATTTGCGCCTTTAATATTATCATTAAATATTGTTGCTACTTGCTTTTTAACTAACACAAAAACTCAATTTTTATTTTATCACTACTAATACAATCCTTATGGAAATTGTATACAGCTAAAGCTTATATTATGTTACAAATTTTTTTTCTTTATCAAAATAATTATAATTGGCTCATTCTGTTAATTTAAGTTTGTTACTAGTGTTGTTAAATGGCTCGTTTTGATCAGATTTTTAACAACTGCTAACTTAATATTTTAGCCAGAAAAATTGCCTAAGCCTCGAGATTTCTCGATTAATAATTTTAGACCTTCGGGCCATCTATGAGAAAGGCAGCAGCGGGCGTGATTAAACCAGCGGTTGAGAGCGAGGCTGGTAAGACTTGCGTAATATTTATCTGGATAAAATACTGAATTAGCCGTTTTTAAAAATCTGCTTTACATAAATATAAATTTTTTAAATATCATTAAATACATTTTTTAGAAGCATATTTTTTATGTTGTTTCTTTCGTTGTTTTTTTTTGTTTTTATAACTTTTTTTGCATCCTTTATTATTACACTTATACTTAATGCATATTATGTTAGCTTCAATGTGTTTCTAAAGTGTTATTATTTGAACTTTAAATCATTTTTTGAGCGTTTTAAAATTTTAAAATTTTCTTTTACCGGAAATGTATTCCGGCATGTTTAGTTTTATGAATTGTAGATAATTTTGCTCTTAACCTTTGAGTCATTTATAATTCATATAAAAATATGAAAAAAAAAATAACACATAAACTATTTATTGCTTAAAAAATATATTTTTATATGGTGTAGTAGATGTTAATATTTAAAAATTATTTTTTTCCAACTTTAAACAGATCGGAACATTTTAACCGTTTCCCATAACAGCTTTACTATATTTTACAAATCGTTATTGCGTGACTTCTAGTAAAGCTTTATACTTCTGAAAAATTTTATTCTCTAGCGATGACTTTATGGAACATCTAGAAAAAATCTTAAATTATTAGCCTTACTATATTTTTCTAAAAACAAAATAAAATAGAGGGTAATTTTTATAATTTTTGAGTAAAAAAACGGTATTTTAGCAAAATATGTCAAACTAGCTTTTCCAAAAGGTGAACATAGGTAAGTTAGATATAAAAATACATTTACACACTAAATTTAATGTTTTTATGCTCAAAAGTTTAAAATTATTTGCGTTAACATTGTTACTCTATCAATCGCTTTACCCCGATATTGATGTTGTATCTTTCTAGCTGAACTCCATGCAGATTACATCTAAATATTTTAACTTATATGATACTATATCAACAAAGAAGATTAAGTGTTTGTCAAAAATATAATTAACCCAAATTAAAAATAATGGGAATTAATATTATGATAACATCTTTGTTTCACTATAACCGGCTACAAACATGCTCAAAATATTTATTCTTGATTATTTTAACTAAATTAAAAAGGTTTTTTGTTGAATATTATGACAATTGATAATAATAATTTTATATATTTAGATAAGGTAAAGGTATTTAAAAAACAATAAACATCAATGTGCGGATTGTATATTATTGATCATTTAATTTTTTTAATATATATTTATATAAGATTTTTTATTATTGAATATATGTAATAATTTAATTTTTATAACTTGTTCATATCATTAAAAAATGAATCTCAATTTTAAACATGATGGAATACATTACTAGTAAAATCAGATTCCTAAATTTTAAAACACTCAAAAAATGATTTAAAGTTGAAAAAATAACACATTGCCGCTAACATTTACATGACATTTTGAACATATTAATTAGATATTGTAAATTTCTTTTTTTGAAAAATAAATGTTCAGGTTTTGCAAATACTGATCAGATTTCGGCCTCAAATAATTGAATCTTCATTGGATACTAAAAGTAAAAAAGATATGAATCTCGAGGGAAGCACTGATAGACTGATTGGTCTTGTTGGAATAGCTATAGCTCCCCCTCCACCAGCCCTTCATGAAATCAAAATTGATAATGAGATGTTTGTCATGAGATTAAATCTCGATTTTACCGTTTCCAGCTGCGAACCCAAGTTTATTTAATTTGATTTTTTTAGAAAGAAAAAATATATAATATTATATACATTTATTTCTTTCTTCTAAACTTTAATCAAACCCAGGTTTAAAATCTATGAGCATAATCGAATATAATTTTGTTATTAATCTAAACCCGAGCAACTTAGGCCGGCTAATTTTTTCTATAGGTTCGAGTTTTGATATAAACGATTGAGTGTGCTATTTTAAATAATTGCTACCATTTTATTGATTAAATCTTGTTTTCTTAGGATAACTCAATACACTGGGATTAAGATAGAAGATTTAATGAAACAGTCATTTTACAACTATTGCCACGTCTACGACCTTCCGAAATTAAGGAGACAGCATATTGATCGTAAATCACTCCTGACTTTGATTTTATAGACATATTTTATAATATTAGCTGACAAGGCATTATATCACCAATTATTAAATTTGGATATAGTTTTTGTAATAAACTTAGACATAAGATTAAACTATTAAACATGTTGATTGATAATGATTAAGCCCAACATGAATTTTGCTTTTAAAACCTTTTCAAATTTAAAAGATTAAATCGGTGGCATTAAATCTTGTTACAAATCTTTTATATATAATTTTTTTCTTATTGTTTTTAGTCATCAAAAAGGGTCAAATCATAACAGATTATTATCGCTTCATGTCAAAATCTGGGGGTTATATATGGATGCAAACGTGCGCTACTGTTGTTCTTAATACCTCTAAAAATGCAGCCGAAGACGACGAAAACATAATATTCATAAATTATATCATTAGGTTTATATTCTTTAGTGTTGTTAAACTACTAGATTTTTAAAAATGGCTAACCCAATATTTAAGTCATACAATTTATGAAACCCTGATGATTTGGCTCACGGGTGATATATAGGTTTAGACATCTTTTGAAAATATCTCGAGGCTTGCATAAAATTACTTTGGCGAAAATCTTAAGTTATTCTTTATATTAAACATTAAAATAAATTTAATAGTTTGTTGTTTGAAAATAAATCCATAACTATCTAAATCAGAATGTTCTTCCTACAAATAAATTCAAATTTTAAAAATTAGAAATAACATTATTTAGAAAAAAATTAAATATTATTTCAAATTATTTTAATTATTTTAAAATAGTTAAATAAAATCAAGCTAAAAATTCTAACCCAAAAAATATTTATTTTAAAAAATATTTCATCGATATTCTTATAAAAGTATGATAATAATTATTTATAAATTTAATTTTATAATACAGCAACAAAGAAAACCCTGAATATCATTATTCGACATTGCAAAACATTACGAATCGATTTACAAATTATTCGTCCAGCCCTAATAAAGGTAATTTAATTTAGAGTTCTATCTTAATAAAAAGTTCAGTTTCTGATAAAAAAATATTTCGCTATATTTTAATCGCATAATGTCTTTTACAAAGATGCCCTATTCAATATGATTTTAAAGCCGAGAAGAAACTAATTTTTATTTTTAAAAATGTATAATAACTTATACAATAAATTATGGAATGCCATTAATATTACACCGACTCTATATAATGTCTAAAACAAGTATTATTTATAAAATATATAATATTCTAAATGAAATGTAAAAAATTAGGAAATACTATTGATCAGTTAGTAACCAGCACCAATATATCAGATTTATGTTACTCCGAAAAAAAATTGACAGCAATTAAATCCTCTAAACAAACTAAAATTAATAATCAAAGGCACGCAAAAAGAAGCGGTAAAAAAATTCGGAAATCTTCGTCGCTAAACGAAAAGATTGATAAGTATATTAAAATAAAGAAATCGCACAAATCGAACTACAGAAGCCTGAAGAAGGTCAATAAGTACAAAGGACTCATCATCAAAAGTAAAAAGGACAATAAAAACAAAATATTGTGTGCTCATAAACATTTGATCAACAAAGGCAATAATAAAATTTCAAATATTATTTCCTATTCCGCCTCAAATAATTACTACTCCTCAGCAAATTATCAATCTTTATCTTATACTGGCCATTCTGAAACTCTCAATCGTGAATCCGTTATTAAATCGATCATGAACGATTCCCCGTTTACAAATAATGACTGTGATATGGCGAATTATAACGGTAACGCCTATTTCGCTTTAGCACAAAACCCTGCTAAATTCGGGAGTAACAGCTATGTAGACAGCTCAAGGAGTCTTATAGCTGAACTAAAGTGGTCTAATCGTGTTCTCACTAACTCTCATGATAATGATTACATGCATATTCAGAACGACAAGGATTACCTTCATATAGACCAAGAGAACAAACAGTATTTGGAGAGGGGGGAATATGGTATGTGTAATTCATTGGATGGTTATTTGGTGGAGGATGATAAAATTCTCACGACGGATGATCAGTCCATTTTATATAAAAATATACAGTATTAAATATACCTAATGTATTAAGTTTATTATATTTCTTTTTATAAACTATTAATTCTCAAAATGCAAACCAAAAATAATATCTTCCAAAAATCAGCCAAATGAATAGTCGCATTGTCATTACTTCAAATTTGTAAATGAAAATTAACAATTAATCGAATATTAATTTTATTATATAATTTTTTATAATATATGGGGAAAAAAATCTATTTTATAAATAATTTTACATCATAATATTTACTATATTGTTAAAATAAATTCCTATATTATAGTGATTTCAATATTAGTATCCAGTAAAAATTTAGTAAATAAATCAACATTACATTAAATTAGTAATAGTTATGTGAATGTGATAAAGATATTTTTTGTAAATATCAATAATTAATAAATAAATAATAGTAAGTGTTGTTCATAAGTTACTTTTCAAAAATAACTAGTTAAAAGGCGCATGCCTATTATCGTAAATATCATCTTAAGTTAATCAAAATCACTCCTTATTCCCAAAATTGTACCAAAATTATCACTATCAATAATTTAAAATAAAAATATATTGAAGTTAATAATTTTTAAAATAATGACTAATTCAAAATTTCCAGAAAAGAGCATATTAATTTTTTTAAAAAAAGGTGCCAAACTAAAAATATTTTAAAATGGCTAAAAATTTTTTAAAAAGCTCCACCTAATAATTCACCCCTTTAGTAAAATATTGGCTGTATGAACTAGTTAGATAGTAAGGTACTTTGTCCAAGACAGAACTAATTGCATAGCATAGTTACCTGACTTGATAATAGTTACTTAAATATATTATTTACATTAATTTTTGCAAAAAAATAATAATCAAGTTTATTATATACGACTTTACAATAAGCTAAAGCAGAAATAAGAGAAATTGTTTTCTAATAAACACAGGGACATTTTACTTTAATATAAATATCTTGTCTAGTTGCTGACGAAATACATTTATAAAAATAAGATAAACAATGCGAATCCAGAAAATTGAATCAAATAATTAAAAATTCGAATTCTAAGAATCGAATAATTATGATTTTTTTTTCAAATAAAAACTTTTTAAGATATTTAATTTAGTAAAAACATTTCATTGCATAAATGGTAATCGTGCGTAAGGCAAAATTATAATAATAATTAATACTAAAAACAATTATAATAAGACATACAGTTTTCTTAATTGTTTTACTTTTATAGACATGTGATTTTGGTATTTGCGCCTATAAAATAATGCTCACAAGTTGCTGAAGATCCTTACTATATCCTCTTTCGCTCTAAATTCATAAATATTTATTTTAATTTGGCTTTAAGAAAATTTAAAATAAAAAATGTCTATCAAAATAAAAAAAAATCAATATTGTCCCAGAAACTTATAATTAAAATTTATTATCAGTAAATGTATTATTTTTTAATTATTCGATTTAGAAACGAAAACAAATCAAATCAAATATGCGATAGTCATAATAAACTTGTAAAACCTTAACTTATTTAAATGTAACTATCTCTGGATTTTAATCATTACCTTACAAAATGTCCCAAAGCATATTTAAAACTTTTATAATCTCTCATCTAATAAAAAAAAAAATTCCTGGTAACAATCTCATATTATATTTATAAATTATATATAAAGATGTCTCATATCATATTATAATAACCCATCCAATGAAAAAATATTTTTCATTTAGGTGACAAAATTTAATTAGCATTTAAATAATTTATTTATTTCTACCATTAATGTAAGTTAGAGATCTGCATTGGGCGTTTTCCGCCCGCCCACACTTAGAATTAGCATGGTCGATTTTTTAAAAATTATTTTCAACATTGGACGGGTGGGCGAGTGAATTTTTAATATTTTTCAGGCGAAATGAGCAGAACAGACTCCAATTTATTAAAAATAATAGTTTCTTGATATATCAACATGAATATCAATATTTCAGACGTTATAAAAACAATTAAATAATGTTTATTCTTAAAATTTCTACCTCACATAACACATAATTATTTAATAAAGTTTTTGCAATCCCTCAATAAAGTATTATTTTATATTTAATTTATGATGTATCATTATTAGTCAATATCTAAAGAATGAAAAAAAACAAACTGTTGCGATTTCTTATTAAAGAAATCATTAATTTTATGAATTTAAAAATATAATTAATTACAAAGAATTATTTACTCGAGTGATCAATTACAGTATTCTGACCGTAATATTCTAAGTAGTTTTTTGTTTTTATAATTTTAGATATCATAGGTCTGCATGGTATGACCTCATTAAATCTTAATAAAAAAACACTATATATGTTTAACTTCTATTTTATTTTATTAAATTGCATCTCAATTTACCAAATAACTAAATTTCGTTTATTATGGCTGATAAAAAAAAATGCGGAATGTAAATATAAATTTTTCAAAAAGAGGTGATGAGGGGGAGGGGAGGGCTAAAATCTACCTGATTTTTAAGATTGCTTAAATAGTTGAAAATGGGAATCTAATAGACATAAGGACAATAAGATAAAATTTAGAGTATATTATATTTTTTCACAAATGTTGTTATTTGCTGCCTTTAAAACCTAAAATTGATTACTACTATAATCCTTAAAGAAAAAATTATTTTTTTCAATATCAAGATCATATTTTTTAATAAAATAAGTTTTTTTAAAGAAAGAGAGACTGGGATATTCCACTCAACGAAGGCTCCGTCGCTTACCTAAAATCGAGCCTTCACGACGACGATCTCACAGTTTTTCACCAATTGAACCAAGGATCTGGTCACGAGTTTCTGGAAACCATACCCTCCAACAACCTCGATTTGTTGCTCACTGCTGACGAGCTAAGATTTGCTATTGGACTACGGCTCAATTGCGAAATTGTTCTTCCGTACCAATGCAAACATTGCGAAACCAGAGTTGACAGCAAGGGTAGGCACTGCCTCCATTGTCGCTTTTGTCGTGGCCGCTTTTCACGGCACACCAAATGCAATGACATCATTTTACGCGCCCTCTAGACTAGAACCAACCGGAATTTTCAGAACCGACGGAAAACGTCCTGACGGAATGTCCTTGATCCCCTGGTCAAGGGGTCAGCTCCTGGTTTGGGACTTCACCTGCATTAACCTAAATGCACCTTCTAACCATAACGTCGATGCCCTCGCCCTCGCTGAATCCCGCAAAACCATAAAGTACAGTTCCTTAGACCTTTCTTTCTTATTCATACCCATCGCCTGCACCATTCTCACCACCTTCGGTAGCAAAGCTCAAAGTTTTTTCAAAGATTTAGGCAAACGGATCCGCGAAAAAACCGACCAGCCTAAGGAATCCCTTTTCTTACGCCAAAGACTTGCTACCGCCATCATTCGTTCTAACTATCTAAGCTTCATTTCTTCCATTGAATAACCTTCCATTTTCCAAGCTTCCTTTTTTTTATCCCCTATCCTTTCCCGTAAATTCTATTTCTACAATTTTCCTTTATATTTTACCTTTTTAAAAAATTAATTATTTGCTAATACATTTTGACATCATATCATATCAGTAAATATTCAAATAAAGTAACCCATGACCGGAAAAAAAAACTATTTAATTATCCGCGAAAATTTACATATTTAAACTGAAATGAATTAATATACTGTATTTTATATTATAAGCTATTCTATAATATTAAATTACAATAATAAAACATATAAATTATAATAAATTTATAAGTAGTTTAGGATAATTTAAAGCATTCAGGGCTAAAGCCATCTCCCTTGATCCTGCTAACTTTTTGAAGTAAGAGTCTTTTGTAATATATATTGTTACTGGACTGCAATTCGTACATTGAGCAAAGGTTGAAAATGATACATTCGTGCATCATAACATGGGGATCCGCTTCAAGCTCTGTTTCTAACAATGATATGGCCTCCTTTAACTTTCCGATGTATAGCATGGACAAGGAAATATTGTTCTTTGCCTAAAAAATAATTTGTAGATATAATAATTTATTCTACCTTTAAAACTGTAATAATTTTCACTTACAATCTTTGTATTCATTAAATCTTCCATTTTTTTAAACAAATAATGCTGACCTGCCTCGGCTTGAGTGCCCGCGCTGGGCCGTATTTTAAATATACCTGGGTCAGACCTAAACTTTATTTAAAATACCCGAGTCGGGGGCCGTATATTTTAAATGGTCATTATTAACTATAAAAATGATAAATATAAAAAATAATTTTAAAAAAAAATCCAGTTAGGGCCTAAAAATGTAAAACTCGAGCAAGGCCGGGCCAAAAAATATATTTAAAAAATCTGGGCCGGGCCGTGTAAATGGTACTTCTGAAGTCTCTGATATGATGTAATATATAGGTTATTGTTAAACGACTCGATTTGAGTCTATTTTTAAAAACGGCTACTAAAATATTGAGTAAGCCTCGAAATTTCATTCAAACCTTTATAAAATCTATGAAAAAAAATCTTTAGCTTTGCATAATATTTTTCTGGTTAAAATATTGAGTTAGCCGTTTTATTCCGCTTAAATCGAACCGTTTAACACCGCTTCATAAGGTAATTCATAATTTTTAAGTAAGGATGTAACGATTTATATCGGATCGGGCCGATATTTCATATATTTTAAAATATCGGTTATCGGTAAATAATATAAAATTTTACGATCCGATCCGATGCAAAATGGCGTTTTTAACAAAAATAAAATATTATAAAATTTAAAAAAAAAGTTATATCTAAAAACCATTTATTTTTATAAATAAAATCGAAATCCAATTTTATGTTTAATTTTTTTAATAGTAACAATTAGTTAATAATCATTATGCCATATTGTTAATTTTTTTGCATTCTGTTTATAAAATTGTGCAATAATCTCTTCAGAATCTGTTTTTAGTGAAGCTAGTGATATAGCCCCCATCACAGCAGACTGACCTCTGATAAATTGGTAAAAAGAAATCTTCCATATATTAATTTGAAATATTTATTTCAAATTTTATTATATATTTGTTTATTACTTATCAATAAAAATATTTTTTATACTTTTAGAATTGCAATTGAATTGAATATAAACTATAACTGATCATTATAATAAATTTGAATGACATATTATTGTATTTAAATCAGAGACCTGCAGAGGTACCATTTGTACGGCCAGGCCTGGCCCAGATAAAAAAAATTTTGGCCCAGCCTGGCCTAAATTTTTTACGGCCTGGCCCGGGTTTAAAAATTTAAGGCCCGGCCCGAATATTTAAAAAAAAAATTTTTAGGGCCCGGCCCGGCCTAGATTAAAAAAATTTTTTTTTTAGGCCTGGCTCGGAATTTTAAAAAATTATATTCGACCTGGTATATTCAAAAAATTCATTATTTCGTATTTTATCTATTTTTCGGCGAGTATTATCATTTAATAAGCAAGTATATTTATTTTATTTTTTTATTCTAAACAGATATTTAGTATATTACAAATACTATGTATTTATAAAAAAATAAAAATGATATTTTTAATTAAAAATATAACATATATATTATATAATAATGTATTTAATCCTTTGCGTATTTATTCCAAGGCTGGAAAACTATAATTTTATTATGTAATAGATACTATGAGTGTAAGCTAGTGTTAACTTTCACCAAACATTATACTAATCATAACTATATATAATCATTATAACCATAATTGACGAATACGATAATTCATGTTGTATGAATTTTTTAAAAAAATACGGCCCGGCGCTGCTTGGGTATTTTTAAAAAAAATTTTTCAGGCCCGGTCTGGGTATATTTAAAAAATTTAAAATACTATCGGATCGGCCTCCAAAAAGTTGTATCGGTACACTCCTATTTTTAAGTTATTTTAAATCACAAATAGTAGGGCATAGACAAATATTTTTTGAATGTTTTAAATTGTTTACATGTTTTTTCCCACTATTTTAATAAAGTTTTATATATTATGCTAATTTTTAATATATATTTTATAATTTAATAAATAAAAATAACATTTTTACAAAAAAAATTTTTTTAAAAAAAAGTTGTCAGACCGATCTAATCCGATTATTATTATATAGATTCGATATAAATTTTATTTTAGAAATAGAAAGTAAGTTCAGCTTTTTATATTTCACTTGAAAATGTACGATATTTCAACAAAAGAGAAAAAAAAAATTATAAGCGCATTGCTGTAGGCAGCCTATTAGTATTGGTTTATTAGTTATTTTTAATATAAATTTTTTACAACTATCAATTTAAAAAAACAATAAGCATGTGGGTAAAATTTTAAAAAAATAGACATTATTCTTAAAAACAAAATAATTAATTCTTCCAGGTTCAACTGACCCGAATTTGGCTGACTCTAGTTGAAACATTATATAATTATAAATATTATTTATCAAGTCTATGAATGGTTTGGTTAAAATATTCACAAAGTAAATTTATAGAAAAAAAAGATGAGATACCAATTGTCAATATTTTAATAACAAAACATAATTTAAAAATAAATAAATATTATTAGACATATATTTGACTTTAACGATCTTGGATTAGTCATATAAATTACCCTAGATCCAGATATAAATCATGTTAAGTTTTTTACAATAGGCTTCAGATGAGGACAGAGAGATATAGCTTCGGAAAAAGATGTGTTAGCACGATCAAAATCATTGTGAGCCATATACAATAACCCCTGGTGCAAGACTATATAACCCGCATTTTGGGGGAAAGTCGTGGATAATTCTTGCAACGTTTCCAAATACTTCTGAGCTAAGGCTAAGTTTCCTAACTATATATATGTGTAAAAGTAAATATATTTGTTCAGTCTTCCCAGGTGCAAATCTTTTAAGGGGGTGTATATGGAAATTAATTATTAAATCTTAAATATTTTTTATCTGAGATTTTTTTGATCATACATTTTATAGATATGATATATAATTTTTAGATATGTATATTTTATTTTTAATCAAAAAAAATATTGTGTAAAATAAAATTTGTCTTGTTAATTTTAATTGTAAAGAAACAAACTTTGAAAGAATTTCAATAAATATATTCCAATAGTAAGAAAGAAGTCATCGAAACTGAAATTTTGGCAAAGACACTGCTATTTTTCCAAATCTACAATAACAGGGATAACAATGAAATACCAGCTCGACTATCAATTTTTTCCCTTTCATTAAAAATATATCAAGACCAACTCCCATATCAATTTATGTCAAAGAAAATAATACTTTTAAAACAAGACTTATTTATATAAATTAGAGTAATTTATTGTAACATTCTAAAAGAATTTTTAATTATTTATATACAAAATATCTTAATACAATTAAAAACTTGAATCAATATTCGGATGAGATATAAAGAGAATTGCATTTTGGCCTCAAAGTTTCTTGCGAATCCAGATTTTTCGATCAAATCCGTCAATACTTCGAAAGCCGTCGAGTAGTCGTTATTAGAAACGAAGCAGGCTACCAGGCAATACTGAACCCTTCTCTGCCTCTCCTCCCATAATTCAATTCCATTCAGGTAGTAGATATCGTTTTTATCGTCGCAGATTGTTTTCAATTTGCTCAGAATCTTGAGAATGGATATGATTAATAGTCAAATTAAAATAAAAAATACTTATAAAGCTCTAGAAGATTCCGATATCATATATCACTCTTCTATTCTATTCACGATGCAATTTTAATCAATTTTTTTTTATATAAATTGTTAATTTTTAAAATATAATGTAATAAACTTGTAATATCTCTTGTAATAGGCCCGTCAAACGCTTTATGGCTTTCTCGTAGTCTTGTTTATATGCGGGAAACAAAGCGTATAGGATGCGGAAAGAAAATGGAACTATGGTACCAACTAGATTATTGTGTTGGATATCTGGTAATTGCGTGGGAGTATCGGAATAAAATTCTGGATATTCTTCACAATTTTAATAAACGTCAAAAAAACATTCAAGAATATTTAATAAGGAAAAATTATTGGAATATACCTACAGAGACTCATTTGTGTTGATAAAAATTATAGAGCTAATTTTCATGGCCGCAGATCTTTTTGTTAGTAATTAGAGTTAAAATATTTGCTAAATGTACTTTATTTATTTTATTTTAAAGTGATCCAGGATATTGCAAATAAAAAATAGCCAAAGAACTAAAAATTCAAAAATCAACCACCACAAGAATACAATCATTTTAACACAATTTTTTAGTTAAATTAAGGGAGAATCTAAAAAAAAATTGTGTTTTTGAAAAATAAAGAATGAAAATCATAGACATCACAGTGAGTGATATTTGCTTCTTAAGATAAATGTCAAAAACCATTTGCCATAAGATTAAGAATTTGAATATTCATTTAAATAAAATAAACAATTATCCATCAAGCTTGGAGTTGTTTACCAAGATCAATACATATTTCAACAAAATGAGATAGCACATTGAGGCTATTTTTTATCCACAAAAATGGTAACTAGATAATGAAATAAACGTTTTTTTGAACTCTCATCAATAAATTTGGCTCCCTCTAGAGGTGCATGCTGATAAAAGTTTGAAATCATTAAAATTGAGAATATTTATAGAAGCAAGGTAGGGTAATACTTAAATGGTAGGATAGAAAAAATATAAAATTTACAAAAACATACCTTTTCCACAAACAAATTTTAACAACAGAAAATATTAGAAAAAATATATAAAAAAAGGAATAAACAATGCCATTAACATTGAGGAAACAATAGAAAATTATTTGATATCTAGTTATTATTTAAATATTACAAATGCAGAGGTACTATTTGTATGTCCTGGCCTGGATTTTTTTTTAAAAATTTTTCTGGCCTGGCCCGGATTTGTTTTTCAAAAATTTTTTCCAGCCTGGCCAGTCAGGCCCAGCCCAAATTTTTTAAAAGATATTTTATTTATTTTTGATTTTTACAGCTAATAATGGCAATTTCAAATATTTGGTTTTAAAATATACAGCCCGGTCTGGATATAATTTTTTAAATATTTCAGGCCCAACCATGGTAGATTTAAAAAATTAAAATACGGTCCAGTCCGGGTACCTGGGCTTAGGGCCAGGCCTGTATTAATGCAAAATATCATAAGATATTTAAGTAAGGAAGAATTGGGTGAGAATGTTCAAATTATTTTTAAAAATTAGTAATTTTTATAACCAAAATTTTATTAATTTTTTTAAAAAATAATATATCAGTTATTTAATATTAAATTTCTTAATTTTTTTTTTACTCTTTAAATTAAAATATGCCACAATCAACTTTATATGGGCAGAGAAAAAAAAATTGGAATTTATGAAGAATGTAAATTTTGCTTAAAATTTATATATTAAAGAAAGAATGTTCATGAATGATTGTCTATTATTTGTATTATTAAATTTATTGTATTTTATAATGTTATTTAAATGATTGTGAAAATATAATATTAGTATTGTAGCAATAAATTTTAAAAAATTCCATCTTTACTTATATTTAATTCTTTAAAAAATTCTCAAAATGAGAGATTTCTTAAATCTTCTTAATTTATGAGGAATATTTTTTAACCATAGGCTGGGACAATATTTCATAGATGATGCAGCCAATATTCAGGAATCACAAGTTCAAGAGAATGTCTGTTTTAGTCAAACCACATTGTAATAGTCTGTGCAGGTGCCACTATATATAGACTTTTTTGTTAAACTTTAAACTCAAATTAAATTTGTTAAAATTGGCAATCAGGGAAACTTACACTTTGATTTTATATTTTGTTATTGCCTTTTTAAGTGGAGTTTACTCTTGGTTAATCAAAATATTTTTAGTTTTAGTTGTAATATTGATGAGGAAAATTTATATATTAAAAGTATAAAAATATCTTTAAGTTTAAATAGGTTGGGCTGGGTCAAGATTTATTATAGTTTTTAATTTTTTTGGAAATAATATTTAAATGAAATGAAATAACATAAATTATTGGTAATGGGCTATATAAAATTAACTAAAAAATTTAATTTGCTAAATTTCATTAGGTATTAAAAAAAATATATCCTATGATTTATAAATATATATTATATTTGCATAAAATTTAGATAATAAAGTAAGTAAATAATACCATATATTGTATAAATTAAAAAAATTTTTTTTTAATTAAACAAGGGTATTAATTTAAAATAATATAAATATACCAAAATTTGAAAAATTTTCTATTTCTTCTTCAACAACATTTATTGATTTCAGGCGTAAACAAAGTATAATTCTCAAAATCCATAATGGTAGGCAGGCAAGCTTGTTGGGGTAAGTTGATATTTTTTCATCTTATAAACAATAATAATAAACACATTTAAAATTATAAACTAATTTTATTTAAAGCCAAGTTAAAATGACCATTAATGATAAGTGATTCAAAATCTTGCTGATTAATTTCATTAATAAAATTAGCTCGATTCTTTGCTTCAGTCTCCCCTAATTCATAACGAACTAAATTTAAGAGAATATCGCCCTATTTTAAATATTTATAAACATTATGTAATATCTATATAACCGATGATTTTAAATCTAATTGTAGAGCTGGAAATGATTTATTAATTATATTAGATGAAAGCCAAATGTCAATGTACGGATTATCATGATTCTCTCTATAGGACATAGCTCTAACTCATCATAAGATTGGTGGTTGAAATTCGGTACGAAACTATTGCAACCATATGAAAAATCTACGAGTAAAAATATCCGAACAGCTTAAAATGACTGGCATTTTTTTATGCAGTTTAAATAATTAAAAGCGTTATTACAAATAACCACCATAAATATAAAATAAGCTATGAGAACAGCTGCTTAATATTTTAATATTATATATTTATCAACCAAGATTTTCTCCTGTGAACATTATATAAAAATCTATTGGATATCTAATCCATATCCACAAGTTAATTTCGCATTCAAACCTCACTGCCGTTTTCCCCTGTTTTTATCGATATTCGCCTTAGAATCAACTAATTTTTCCTCCAAAAAATCTTGGATCTTATCTTCGTTGAATTTTAACAATTCATGTAATTTTTATACATTCATGCATATAAAACATTAGTTGTATTTAGCATTTTTTTATTATTATAATATAATATATAATTGTATTTTCAGATCCACCACAATTATTTGATCAGGTCCGGGCCAGATCTGCATAAAAATTCTTAGACCCAAACCCGGTCCAGCCTATATACAATATTTAAAAAAAATCCCAAGCCCAATGCAAACTCATAATAAATTTCAAAAATATTTCCCAAGCCCAAATCCAAATATTTAGTTCATTGTATTTCATGAAAATAAGCAATATTTAAATGAATTTGGCAATCCTTTTGTGTAGAGCTGTAGAATGACTGGTGTGGTAAATTGACTACGACTCAGAAATTAATTTTGGACATTCTGCGTTTTCCAAAATTTGTATTAAAGGTATTTACATTTAAAGTCAATTGAATTGTATTTTTAGGCTTCAATATGCCCAGCCTAAAATGTTTGGCAAAATATAATCAAAAGAAAGTAAAGTAAATAAACAAAAATTATTGTATAATCTTTTTTAGAATGGAAGAAGATAATTATCCTTGATCAATTTATTAGTCGGTGAAGAAGCTAACTTTAAACGAAAAGCTCTAAGTTTTAACCTGGTTAATCAGATTCTACGGTTAATTATTTTAACGATATTTAATTTATTATATAAATTTTAGAAAAATTGTTGTCATCAAATATGGAGAAAAAAAAGGATATATAGGTGTCAAAAACTTTATTAAATAATCTAATAGCTGGGACGTCACTAAACTTTATTAAATAATCTAATAGCTGGGACGTCACTAAACTTTACAATCTCAGGTGGCTCAAAACTTTTCTTTTACTTAGGCTAACATTATCCAAGCGTCATGAGAGGGAGGGGTAGGAACAGTTTGCATCCTATTTTTTTGAGGGGGTAGAGGGTAAGCTGCTTAAATGGGGGTAGGATAAATTTTTGGAGGGGTTATCTATTAAATTTTGAGATGGAATAGAACAAAATTTATTGCTGAAAAAATTAATAATTTTATTATAGAATTATTATAATACAATTATCGACCAAATCTATATATTGCAAACAATCATACACATTGTTTTCCAAATAAAACTTTCTCCTATCCTTTTAAATGTAATTTAAAAGGTTTAGATATATCAGCAAGCTCATAATGCCATAATAATTAATTCATTGTAACTAATGGAGGTTTTAATTGAATTTATTATCTACAAAATAAATTCTTTATAATCACAAAATAACGATAGTTGGTAGTAGAGATAGATTAATTTAAGTTATCCTTATAAATTCTCTTAAAAGAGTATCAATATAATTATAAAGGTGAAAATAATAATAAAGAGAAACGGTTTCCAGTGAAAATCCTGTCATGTAGATGCTGCATTATCCTCAAAATTACATTTGATATATAAAAAAAAATTCAAATCAAGTTATTCAGGGGGTTCAAGCCCCCTAGTGGAGTAACTGTTTAAAATAGTAACTATTATATTTTTAAGGATAAACTAGTTATATAGCTTAATTACATAACCTGATAATAATTGATCTTTCTCATTGGTTTCCTGTCTAATCTAACCCTGATCAGATTAAAACAATTGGCCAGATTTTCAGTTATTTCTACTTAAAGATCCCCCTTTAATATTTATTCATATAAATATTTACATATTACCGATTACCTATAATTATTGTCTTTATCCTGTGGGGTAGATACGCCCTTCCCCCCCCCCCCACCCCAGAGAAATTTTTTTTAGATTATACGTTTAAAAGACTCAAAAGTGACTTTATATCAAATAAATACCATGAATATTTATATTTTTCTGGTTTTGATATTTGTGGAAGGATATTATATTACTATTGAAATTATTCTGGATAGTATTATTTAAAAGTCATTGAGAATAATCTACTAAATTAAGATAACATATATGCATTTAAAAAAAATATTTATTATATATAATTCTAGGACATTTATATTATAAAAAAAAGCCGGCCGAAGGCCCGTTAAAGGTGGGTCTGGGGGCGAAGCCCCCAGGCTTATATATGTATGGACCTCCTCTAAGGAAAATTTTTAGCTAAGCCAATGTCTTTATTTCGCTATTTGACATATTTCACCCATATATTTGATTTCGATTTTAAGTAATAATAAAGCCGTAGGAATAGGCATTTGACTATATCCACAAGGGTTTTAATAAGGATATAATTGCGAAGCAGTCAACAAGGCTACCATTTTTTAAGATTTTAAGTTTAAATCTTTTTATTGACTCTATTATATTTATACAATCAGCCACAAATAATTTTTTTCAGGACAACTATATAAGTTTCATTTGAACTCGAAAAAAGATCTTATTTTTACATTTTTTAAAAATATCTCAAAATATTTTAAAAATATTAATATTTGCATGAAATTTAAAAAACATTGTTATGTAAATAAAAAAATATTCCAATCTTTCATATAGTTTGAATTAATAAAAATAATATTTAAAATTTATTATATTACTATTTAAACATGAATAAAAAAGTGATAAAATAAGCAGAAATCATTTTAGTTGTATAATTCTAGAAGTACAAATGTTATTTCTTATATAAAAATTAATTTTTTTTAATACACGTATATATTTTTATATAGAGAATATATTTACTTTTAACTGATTTAGTATTATGAAAAATCTATTTTTTAAAATTTTCATCAAAAATATTACATTAAAAGTAAAGATTTTGTTTGTCTAAAAGCAAGGGCCTATTTTCTACCTCCAATCTTGCTTCCCTTTTTACTCAGATGATTTTATGAAACTCCAATTCTCATATTAGCAATATGTTATTTTTTCAAGAACTTAGAGTATTTCACAATGAGTATAGGTTAGGCTATAACTATCATTTTTAGCTTAGGCATTTTTGCCTTCTTAAATAGTATTTAACTGATCAAATTAAATTTATATTATCGGACTCATTAGTTCTCTTATAATATGAAATCCCTAACCACTAAAAAAAAGAATACACATTCTGCTTTTAAATCGAATCATTTATTCTCATTTTTGTAATGGTAGGTTAGAGACTATTTATTGATTAATTCACTTATATTTTCAATATATTGTTAGCGCTATCTAATTAAAATGGGTTTTGATATTAATATTTGTAGTAAAATACATACACTTTATTTACATTTATTATTTGATATTATATTTTAATTTTTAAACTTATATGCTAGTTCGTATGTTATGGAAAATGAAAACTTTTCATCAATTTATTTTAGATATATTTTGACAACTATATTTTTGTTTTTGTCACATTTTCGTAAATAGGTATTAAATTGAATTGCAAGGATAACAAAATAGAAGGTACATAAATATATCTAATAAAAAGCTGGTGAAAAGTCTTATAAATAATATATGAAATGAATAATATACAGGTATCGTTATCATCAAACTTTTAAAAAATAATTTCATATTTATCCAGTTTATAATTTCTTCGAATTTCTCTCAATCCATTTTATATATTTAGATAGATCAACATAAACTCCAGGTTTGTCGGATTCGGCACAGCCTTTTCCCCAAGACACTAAACCCGAAACTTTTTTCCCAGATGTAGTTGTGCAGAACAAGGCTCCACCAGAGTCACCCTTTGATATGATAGTTAATATAGGATTATTATTTTGTAGAAATAATAATAAAATTTTTGTTTTAAAATAATAATTAAGAAATTCGAATATATTCCAAAAAATTTTTGATATCACATGTATATCACTTCTCCCGTCCATTCCAGGAAACAGTAATTTTTTTTAAAAATATAAAGAGCAATGTTGCATTGATTATACCACTATTTTATTATGGTTATTTTAACCAATTTTATAGTTGAATCATAAGAATTTATCTTTTTTTATAAAAATTATGCAAGCTATATAAAATTAATATCTTGTTTCAAATATTAATTAGATATAATTTGTGTATAATATAAATTGATAATCAATAATTTATAAATTTTAACATTTAAATGGTTCCATAAATGTACTCTAGCCTAAGCTTAAATTTAATGTTTTTAAAGTGATATTCTTTCCCTATTTCTTTCTTTCTTTCAATAAAATTTATTTACTTGACAGGCATCTACCCCTCCAGCTTCTTCTCCCGCGCAGATCATATTTGGTGAAATTTTACTATTGTGAAATTGCTTCATATTGCATTTTATCCTATTCCAAGTAGGTATACAAATCTCATTTAGGTTGTTTTGATCACCACCATCTTTATATAATTATTATTATCGTGAAATCATAATATATGAATTTTCTGTTACATATTCTTAATGTATTTAAAATGTATTTTCCATGTGTATGCTAACCTCTAATATCATAATAGTTGGCCAAAAAAAACTTTGCCGCATCAAATTTTACAAAATGAAGAATAAGTTAATTAGAAAGTTTATTCAATTTTAGGAATATATAATAAGCTTTTAACAAATGTAAATATATATAACAAACATTTGAATATTTATTATTCAATACAAACATTAATTTGTTGATTCTCAAATCGCCATTTAATAAAAAAATAAGAATTACATTGTTTTCTAATAAGCAGAGTTATTAAAAACGCTTCTAATGGATCTACGATATAGTTTATTTCTCATTGCCTGATAATAAAATCGTAATGATCGTTCAGATATAAATATATATTGGAAATATTATTTAAAAATTTTTTCGTTTCGTTTAATAAATTCCAAATTTGTCAAAACAAATCGCTCAAAATTCAGTGGTCCCTACAACGGGGGGTGGGGGGTCCGAAGCAACTGCTGCAGTAAATTTGAGTGGTACTTCTTTCTTTTTTTAAAATTTTTTTTTAAAAATTTTCTTTATTATTTAATTCTTTTACTGTTTTGTCACATCCATCATGATCAAGTGATTTCTGGTTGAATATAATAATAAAACAATCCCCCCCCCCAACTTAATATTTTTTGGTCGATGTTTAGTAAATTAGGTTGTTATCCGAGATTTCTTGTCATAAATTATTTTTCCAATTTTAAAATATGCCTAAAAATATTAACCAAAAAAAATACAAATGCCTAATTAAAAATTGCGAATCGCATAATATTTAGAAAAAGACATGGTGGGCTTAATTTTAACGATATAAAGAAAAACTTTGAAATAGTAGCTTTTAAGAATGTTACTTAAAATTGGACAAATAGCAAAGTAATTTTTTTATTAAATATTTAATTATTATTTATACTTATCTTATTATAAAGGGTATTAAATCGCAATTTAAGAAAAAAGAAGTAAGAATTGGGAATTCAATGCTGTTGGTATAATAAATATTTTTAATTAATATAATTATAAAAGTGTCCTATTAATAAAGAATGTGTTAGAAGAAAATATAGTATCTGATGATTCTGATAATCATGAAATTAGTGAACCTGAGGTCATTTAAATACTCTTATTTTTTTTATCCTGCTATATTTTTTTATAGGCAGACACAGAGCAGAGATTTGATAAAGTAGAACAAGAAATTCCTATTATCTCTCTACTTTTAATAAATATTAATTTAGCTTTATAAAATTTTAATGAATACAACATATGCAGTTTAACGAAAGATTTAATGATTGATTCGATGAAATTTTTACATCAAACATCATTTTTTACGCCAAAGGGAATGGCAGAAAAATCAATTAAACTGTTAATTTTACAATTTAAATTCAAGTCAAATTTTCGAAGAAATGCTGAAGTTTAGAAATATTTATAAGATGGCCAAAATGGGGAATATAATTATTACTCATGACCTAGAGGTTCAAGAATCTAAAGATTTATCAGATTCTGAGAATTGTAAATTTATTTAATTAAAATTTTTTTACCAATACATTATTTAGCTTCTTCTGATGATGATGATAATTCAGGGACTTACGATTAAGATTGGAAAAACTATTCATTTATTTTACCTTATTGTCTACTTTAAAATTTTTCTACTTTCCCTAATTTAAGAACTTTATATAAATATTTATTAACTATTCCTACAACCTCATGGACTGCCGAAAGAGTTAGGAGTAAAATTAAATTAATTAAAACAAGACTTCGTAATACCATGAAAGATTCATTTCTCAATAATTTAACCATATTATCAATGGGGAAAAATTTATTTAAACAATTAAATATTGATGAAATTATAAATTCTTTGGCTTTCTCTTCCCCTAATTTATCTAAATTATTAATTTAAAAATAATATTTATAAAGTATATATTTTTTGCATTTTATTTATATAATATATTAAAAATTGATGCAATAAAAATTATTTTAAAATTAATGGGTGTCATAAAATAATTATCATTTTTTCGAGGGGGGGGGGTACTTTTCAGGGGGGGTATTCTGCTTCATTCGCTCAGAAAGTGTAGGGGCCACTGTCAAAATTTAATCTTCTTAAAATTTTTAAATAATTATATTTGACATAAAATGATTTTAAAAATTAATTTTAATAGAAACAATCGTTATTTTTATTGATAAATTTTACACCATTTTTATGTGAAATTTTAGATTAATTATCCAATTTATTTATTAATTTTAACAACGTGTCATAATTTTATAATAAGCATTTTTTATTATATCAGCAAAATAATTATTTGATCTACAAAGAGAAAAAATGTAATTCCAATTCCAGTAATGTGATGTATCCCTTTTCGATTAATATCACTTAATATATTATGACTTAGATATTCCATGGATGATATAAATTATTTAAGCATATCAATTAATTTAAAAACTTGTAGTTTTTGTCGGGAAAAATTCAATAATTCATATTTTTGTGATGATGTTGTTGCTACCCAGTATAAAAGCAAAAAAAACTTTATAAACCTCTTCAACATGAGAAATGTTTTGAGAATATAGCTCTATCCCAGATTTTATTTATTCCGAAAAGCATAAAAATTATTTATCATAAGCCCTAATTTATCTAGATATAAGAAATTATTTTTTTTCTAATAGAGTTTTGCAATACACTCAACAAATTGAGTTCATGATCTTTCTACAATTTAAAATATTGGCTATTTGTTTCTTGCAAAAATTTTAAAATATATTTATTTCATTTCAAAATTTAAGGCCCACAGTCCTATTTGATTTTTTTAAATAAATACTAATCCCATCTGTGATCCTAAATGTCCACCAATCTATTATTTTAGATATCTAAAATAAGATTATAGCCATACAAGACCAATATATGTGCAAAAACTCTTGGACCAGAGTTTTTTCTAGAGGATTTTGAACAAATCTATTTAATAAAATTTAAATTATGGCTTTAGCATAATTAGATTTTAAGATATTTAAAATTTAATATAAAAAATTTTGGAATTTTCTCGCTTCTAAAGATAGCCGTATCTCAGGAAGTAAGCTGAGGTGTTAAAATTTTATATTTTTGTTAATGAATATATTACCATCATACAAATTTTAAAAAAAATCGAAGGGGATCGGGTTGAATCTTCAGTTGATTTGATATGGAATAAAACATGCATAAATAAATTAATCTGGTTCGTTAATTGATTCTAAAAATAGAATTTGATTATACATTATAATAAAATGATGATAAAATAAAGAAACGAGTTGATGAATCTAACAAACAATACAACTTTATATTCTTCCAGCCCTAAATTCAGAATAAAATTTCAATGAAGATGTACCCTAAATGTCAATTATCATATTCGTTTTTTTGTTTTAAATTTATCTGACGCAAATGGGTAAAAATATAAATTGTAAACATGTTGAATTAAGGTCTCATTAAAGTGAACCATATAAAGATACAATTGAATTAATAGTTATTTTTAAATTTTCTTAAATTTTTTTAGAGCAAATAGATAAAATAGATATTATAAACATGTTAATGAAATTTCAGTGAAGATGAACCATGGAAGAGTGAAAATTATCATAATCATGTGGTATATAAATTTCAATATATTTTATATCTGGTGACACAAATAAGAATTCAGAAAAAAAAATTGAAAACATAGAAAGTATAAATCTGGCTAGTGTTTACAGTGGTCAGGTCTAATTTGGTCTCATCTGACTGTTGGGTCCGACGGGACGGTCCGGTCCGACAAAACGTGGTTCGGTCCTGCTCCACCGAAGACCGATTAATAAGATAAAGTTTACTATGAATTACATTTTAGTTAATGTACTTGTTCATGAACACATAAAACATGATTATTTAATGTCTAACACTTTATAATGTCTAATTCATTGTTTACTTTTTTTATTCTTCCGTTTCATTCATTCGTCAAGTAATTTAATTTATTAAAAATTGAAATTAAAATCATAGAAGATGATTATATTATTGACCACCCTCAGCCAAAGAATAACTATTGATTTAGAATATAGTATTAGTCAGAGACCTGCAGACCCGGCCCTAATCCCGGGTATCAGGGAGGGGTTTTATTTTTAATTTTTAAATATACCTGGGCCGGGCCGGGCCTAAAAATTTTTTTTTAAAAATACCCAAGCAGCGCCGGGCCGTATTTTTTTAAAAAATTCATACAACATGAATTATCGTATTCGTCAATTATGGTTATAATGATTATATATAGTTATGATTAGTATAATGTTTGGTGAAAGTTAACACTAGCTAACACTCATAGTATCTATTAAATAATAAAATTATAGTTTTCCTGCCATGGAATAAATACGCACAAGAATAAATACATTATTATATAATATATAATTAATATATGTTATATTTTTTATTAATTAAAATATCATTTTTATTTTTTTTATAAATACATAGTATATTCTCAAAATATTATTTACACAAATTTTTTATAGTATCAATTTGTAATATACTAAATATTTGTTTAGATTAAAAAAAAATAGTGTTGTTAAACGGCTCGTTTTGAGCCGATTTTTAAAAACAGCTAACTCAGTTTTTATCCAGAAAAATATTATGCAATTAAAATTTTGCTCATAGAAGGAGCAAAGGTCTAGACATATAGTATCGAAATTTCGTGGCTTTTTTAAAAATCAGCTTAAAATGAGCCAGCAACATTAGCTAATATACTTGCTTATTAAATGATAATACTCGCCGAAAAATATGTTAAAATATGAAATATTCAATTTTTTGAATATACCAGGTCGAATATAATTTTAAAAAATTCCGAGTGGGGCCTAAAAAAAATTTTAATCTGGACCGGGCCGTACAAATGGTACCTCTACAGGTCTCTGGTATTAGTAGAAAATAAAACAAATAATTTGAAAATATGTTAAAGAATTATATAAATTTTTTGAAAGGATAATTCTGGGAAAATATGTAAAATATGTCTTCAGATATTTCTAATTCTTCAAATACAAGTAAATTATCCATATATATCAAATTGATAGCTCAAAATTTTAAATGAATGAATAAAAACTTCATCAAATAAACCTACCTATAGTTATAATTAGGGATGGAAACAATAAAAACCCAAGATTAACAAAATATTGTATGTAATGGCATTGGATAGAAAAATGGAATAATTTTTGATTTTTTAGAAGATAATTAGAATATTAATTATAAATCAGTTTTATTTTATAACCAATTATCTATCACATTCAAAAACAGAAACTAATTAAATATGCTAATCAAATTTATTTAAATTAAATTCAATAAATTTGTATTGGTTTAATCTTTTTGTATAAATAATATAATAAAAATTTTTTGATGATATATATAAAATATTGGTAAATTAACACATTTTATTTTTAATAAATTTCATGCAGAATAAAACTTTTACTTAGCAAAAAACATTTATTAGACTAGACCAGACTAACAGGTGACTTAACGGTCCATCGGCCCTGTCTCATTTTAGAAAAAAAGGACCAGACCGGACAGGAACGGACCTTTCCAAACACTAAATCTGACTGTCCTTTAGAAAGAACAATAATAATAAAATCGGGAAAATCGTATCCAGACTTAATAAATAAACCAACGTATGGGCAAATGTTTATATTTAGGAACGATGACGTTAAATCAAGCCATTGCCTATATGGGCGATAATGTCAAACTCAAATAATACTTATATATGTGTAGGCTTTTAAGAAATAATTGGTCTAAATTAACGTGTACAACATTGCTTACTAAGATGTTTAACAAGCAATTAAGAAACAATCATGCTGACAATCAATGCCCAGAATAAACCTATTAATTAATTTTTTAAATATTATATCATATGCGAAACTCACACTTGAATTATTTTGTGATTTTTATTTGAAAATAAGGGCACTTAACATGTTAAAAGTCCTGTAATGCTTTCTTATTTAAAATATATAAATTTTATTCATAATAATAATCGTGAAAATCTTGGAATTTGTTCCGTGATTGTTTTTCATCGAATAAAATTTTAAATGAAAAATATATTTATCAGAAATTAAACCAATTTGTTGGATCTTATGGATGATTCATTCTAAGTACCCTCGTTTATCTCTAAAGACAATTTTATCCATACAATGCTCTTACTTTCGGAATACTTGACTGTGGAGTGGTTTTTATACCTAATGAATAGGAACATTACAATGGTTTAATCATTATATATATTAAAATCCCGACGTCTCATTTAAAAAAAATTATACACAATTTGATGAATTTCAAAACTTATTAATACTTATATCGTCTGAAAGGTGCCCAAAAAATCAAATATTAAATTATTTGATTTTTTTAAAGAGATTGTCTGGAAATATTGATCTAAATATTGTGATATATATTTTTTAAATTAATATAAATAAAATAAATTATAATATAAAATTTATTAAGTTGTCGTCAATCACTTCTTAAAATAAAATTTATCAGGTTTGCTTTTGTAATGAAATAAACTCGGACATATTATTGAATGAATTTAATTCAAATATTACTATTATAATATATGAAAATATATCGAAAGTATCTAAAGATAGATATAGATACCTCTATATAGTATCTTGGCATAGATACATTTTATAAAGTGTATCTAGATTACAGTATCAGGATACTTTAACAAATGTGCTAATAAGTATAAATTATTCTTCTACTATCTATATTTCATATTTATTATTAATATTTTAAAAAGATTTGTTATTATCATTTTTATACTAAGTATGACAAAAATATTAAATGAAATTTTAGCATACATATTTATATTTTGAAATATTTACTTGAAGATTTTTTTGGCCAACTATGACATTGAGGATGTTTAACATAATTATATAAAATTAAAAAATGAAAATAATTTCTTATATCAATCTACTTAGATGTCAATTTTTGTAAAAGATAAATAAATTGTAGGAGATTAAAAATATATATTTATAAAATTATTTTATTAAGTTATCTAAATTGGCAATTATTTGGACTGTGTACTAAAGATTTAATTATTAGAGCCATCTAAATAAATAAAGAGAAGGGAAGGGAATTATAATATATCCTTATAAAATTATATTTTTTTATAACCATTTGTGTCACCCCATCCTGCCACACAGCAATAGGTGCCAGGGGTTAAATTTTCGTTGTATTTGGGAAGTACAGCATTAGTAATATTTTCGGTAAACTTTAATGATTCATTTAGCTTAACTATAGCAATATCATTATCATATTTAAATGCATCCCTCAGGCCATCTTCCCTAACAAATCCTTCATGAATGATAACCGATTTTATGGACAGAAGTTTTTCGTTGGGTTCGTTCCCATATTTCTTAGATTTACCACAATGAATCGAATATAAGGAGTGAGGTATACTTAAATAATATATATATTATATATACATAGATTGATATTTATTAATTTATGCATATCTTTAAAAAATGGTAGATCATTGCTTATGACTATATCAGAATGACAGATTTTTAAAGTGGAACTTTAGTTATTTTCTAATAATAATCTTTGCTTAGAAAGATTCTTAAAATTCTAAATTTTTCTCTTAAAGTGCTTCTAAAAAGAAACTATAGCATAAATCAGTAGTTTATGTGAAAAAATGGTGTCAGAATTGTTAAAAGATACTTTTCAAATGGATCTGGATATAGATACAACATTTTTATATCTATATATTAGATATTTGTATCTAGATACTTTAACAACTTTGCATGATATAAGAAATTTTAGATATGATAATATGTAAATAAAATATTTTTGTGAATTACAAATATATATTATAAAATTTTAAATGCCTCGGTCTAAAACAATGGGCCACGGTTAAGATTTTGTTAGAATCAAGGATGATGCCGGCGCAGACATACCTGCTATTCACTCTCAAAGAAACCATAAAAGGGTATTCGGTGATTTGAGTGGGAATGCCTCCTACAATCATTAACTTTATCTCATTTTGCGTAGTACCTTTACCATAGTCTTTATTTGATACTGTGTCATAAAGATGGGCATTTAAGTAAACTGTAAATAGATAGAAAAGAAAATATTCTATAAATCGTAGAGTGAAATATTATTTTAATTGTAGAAAAAGTTTTTATGGGATTAATTATTCTTTAAATAGTGCTGAAATATGAGGCCGTTACTAACATTATTAATATAAGAGAATCTTTTTTGTGGGGAAAAGTAACTTCCTTCATAATTTTTTAAAGTAAAGCATTATTTTTTTGAATAGCCAAATATCGTACCCTCAGAAGCAAAATGTTTATGCTTTAAATTTGGGGAATATAATAAAAATTATACTACAAATCCCGGTCCTCCCTTACTCTCTCCGATCTAGACTATTTAAAAAAATAATTTAGGTTCGGGCTTAATATTTTTTAAAAAAATTCATGCCTGGTTTAGGACTAAATTTTTAAATATGATATCATTTAATTTTGGGAAATAAATTGATATCTTTTAAAATTCCTGCAAGAAATAAGGCACCAATATTTTTATATGGTTATATTTAACTCTATTTAAACCAATTAGGGCCGGGCCAAGGACAATTAATTTTTATCTACATTTTAGGTCGGGCTTTCTTCACAAATAAAAAAAAATTTGTTCAGAATCGGGTTGAGCGAAATTATTTTTTTGTAAAAATTTTGGGCAAGGCCTGATGCAGATCATTAATTATAATAACAATATTTACAAAGGGATCTATAATTTTTTTTACCAGACATTTTATGAAGTAAAAATTTTTTTAATATTGTCTATTATTTACCCTAAAAACATGTAAGAGCTCATTGAATTTATAATGCCTAGGAAGTATATAATAATATATTCACACTTATTTTTAAAATTTATTTGCATTTCAATATTATGAATGACAAAAGTGTTCATTTATATAAAGAAAAGTTAAAAATTAGTTTCAATTCAATACTAAAATAATTTAGGGCAATTTTTTTAGGTACAATGTTTTTCTTAAGGTTCCTTAATACTTATTTTGGTAAATTATTTATTAATAAATAATATTTTTACGATTTCGATAAATTATAATTAGATTATGTATGAATATATCATTACTAGTAAATGACCCGTCAAGAATGACAAGGTTGAGGGGTATTAGTTTGTGTATATGGAACTAAATATGCTTTATATTATAATTTAGGAGAAAAAGAGATGAAATGTTGCAATGTAACCTGTGAGAATTAAGGGTATTAGAAATATCAAAATTTAAATTTGTGATAAGAATCATATTGGGTAAAATTAAAAATAGAGATGCTTCAAAATTTTTGAATTTTAAATATGGGCTTGAAATTGGTCTCAAAATTTTGTTTTGCAGACACAGACAGGCCTTATCAAAAAACCACGTCCCATGCAACTTTCCCCAAATGTTTCCATTTGTTTCTATTGTAATTTAATAATAATGTCTTAAATTTAATTTTATATTTAGAATAAAATTTAAATTTGTGATAGAAAATATATTGAATAAAATTTAAAATAGAGATGCTTGGAAATTTTTTAATTTTAAATATTGTGTAGACATTAGCCTGAAAATTTTTTGCAGACATAACCAGGCCTGATCAAAAAACCAAGTCCCATGCAACTTTCATAAAATTTTGCCATTTATTTCTATTGTAATTTAATAATAATATCTTAAATTTAATTTTATATTTAAAATTTAAATTTGTGATAGAAATCATATTGGGTAAAATTTAAAATAGATATGCTTGAAAATTTTTAATTTTAAATATGGGCCAGACATTGGCCTGGAATTTTTTTTTCTTAACCTGGCCAACCCATAATAATTTTGTTATTTTTTCCCAAAACGGCAAAATTTTAAAAATATCAGTTATTAATTTATATATATATAATTAATATTTTAAATTTAATTATATTCAAGTTGGCGCATGCTTAAAACATACGCCTTTAACGGGAGGTTTGTGGTTCGACTCTCGTATAGAACCAAAAAAATAACATTACACTATATAGTCTCCTTAAATTTTAAATACATAAAGACACGAAAACGATCATGTTTTGATTAAGGAGATTATATATATTAGATATAAATTTTTCTAATAAAAAAATAGCCAAAATATAAAATAAGACAAATGTAATTTGATAATGGCTCCTCGCCTACAAAATTAAAACTGAAATATTTAGAAAAATAAATTCTTAAACGCTCAGAATAAATACTTAATGCTTCGAATTATTTCTCAATGCTCAAATAAAAAACTTAATCGCCCAAAAAATACCAATTGTTGAGATATAATACTAAAACGCTCAGATTAAAATGAATCACTCAGAAAATATATGAAAGTCTCAAAACGCTTCTTACTCTGATATATTCTTCTAAGAAGGGAAGACCGGGGAGCATGGATCCCTAAAACGCAAATATCAATTAAAACTACTTAATAATATTGAATAGATAATATTTAATTTTATACCCTTATTTATTCTTCAAATGTCAATAAAATTAAAACTACTTAATAATATTGAAAAGATAAAATTTAATTTTATTTTTTTTAACATTATTTGGAAAAAGTTGGCAAGATTTTATAATTTAACTATAAAAAAATAAAATAAATATAAATGGTTATAAAATTGAAGAGAAAATAAGAAAAACAATCCTTTTATTCCCAAGAAATAAAAAAACTGGAAAAAAATCCTCATAATTTGTCCTAATTGAATAAAAGGGTATATAAAAGCAACGATATAAACCATTTTTTAAATACATACATTGACCTGACCTCATATATCTTTCTCACTTTTTTAGCCTTAAATCGTCCAAGAAAATGGTTTTATGAAAAATAAGTTGAAGAAATTGAACTCGGGTGGGAATAGCTTCATACACCCAATGATGAATATATACTACTAGGCGATTCATTTATTAAATGTGTTTAAAAGTGCCCATACATTGGAGTCTGCTGTAGCACTATTTTGTCACTTCTTGTAATATGATAATTTAATTTATACATAAACTTATTTAAAAAAAATGGCTATTAAGATTTTGAAGAATTTTGTTTTGTTTATTTTAAATAATTTGGGAAATTTTTGACTGGAACAATTATGTCTGGAGATCTTTGTTCAGGATTATTTTCTCAGAGTATGAATATAAACATTGCAAATTATAATATTTTTTTGCAAATATTAGAAATTAGGTCAAAATTTTTAATAAATTTTGCAAATAATAGGAATTTAATGGATGTATGCTTAGAAATCATTTATAGAAAGTTTTAAAGCTGGTTCCTAACTCTGACATAAGTCTACAAAAAAAACGAATCAAAAAATCCTTTCGTATTTGATTCGAAGTGATATTGATATTAGTACGAATCTAATAATTCATTATTCGTATCTGGTATAATGCAGCATATTTTTGTCTCGGAAAATATTTGGTAAAGTTTAACTAAAGTATTATGTTTACCATAGATTATGGGTAGTTTTTTTTTACCAGAAGACGAGATATCATTAAATAGCGTCGTTATTTTCCTATGTTGTTGGTTAAGATTATATTTTAATTTGTTCTAATTCGAGCATTTCCACTCAAATATATTAAAATAAGTGGTTATGTTAAATAATCATTTTGATATTCTTTTTTTTCAAAGAAATTAATTATTTGCTAGGTTTTGAATTAATAAATCATATATTTTTGCTTAAAAAATGTCATGATTTATATAATATTTATGATATAAAAATTCTTTATTTTAATTGTAAAATTGTTAACTCCTTTATTTAAATATGTTTGTTTGATTTTTTTTACTTTTCATTTTAATTTATGTAATGATTATTGGATATATACTAAAACTTCTTAAATAAACATTAAGAAAAATTACATTTTTATGTAACTTGCTGCCATTCAAAAATAAAATAAACATTAATATTATAATATAATTTGCCTGTATATTGTTAAACGGCTCTTTGGGCAGATTTTTAAAAACAGCCAACTCAATATTTTATCCAGATAAATATTACGAAATCAGGATATTTTGTTCATAGATGGCACAAAGGTTTGGAAATTCATCAACAAAATTTCGAACTTTTTAATAGATCGGCTCAATTGGAGCGATTTTCCATTATTATGCTTATATATGAAAAAAAACTTTAAACATGATTTACTTATAAATATGATGCTATTTAAAAATCAGCAGTTAAAACTTTTTAAATATAGATGGAATAATTTAATATCTATCAATTAAAAATGTAGGGTATCTTTATTCATTTTGTCATATATTTGTAATTGTCTTTAAGAGTTTTATATAATATTTCCTAACAATAAAATAGAAAATCACGAATTATTTGTTTTCAGCATAAATTGCCTGAAAGCTTATTTAAACGTCCTTTCTCAACTTTAAAAAAAAAAATATTATTCTCTCCGGATCTGATATTTCTTTGTAATGATTAGCAATATTTTTTTTATAATTATCTAGATTTATGATTGAAAATAATATTAACAAATAAATTAAACTTACTTAAACATAGTAGCAATCCAGAATTTTGAAATTGATAATACATTCTAATAAATTTTGGCACAAGAATTACTTTTTCATTATTATTCATATTTTAATGAAATATTATAATGCATAATAATATATAAATAGTTTTTTAATTTTAATAATTTAGCCTTCAAAAATATAGAATAAAAATGCATTGTTATCCTAATTTTCTTTTAAAAATTCTACAATTAATTCTTAGATCTTCTTCATAAAATCTTTATATTGGGTAAAGGCGGATGTTAAACAAATTTGAGACAAATTTTATTATTAATTATAATATTTGCAAAGGTTTAGAAAGCGCAAAACATAAAATATAAAATATGGAAGATAAGATTTTTTACATATAAAGAAAGTAATTTTTTTTAAAAATTTTAAATTGCACTTTGTTTACTTTTTATTTAATGATATCTACTTTATCTGATTTCCTATTTATTGTATTATTTCTCTTCTTTTTTACTCATATATTTATATATTAATTTATCTATCTCTAATCCATCTTTGTTTATTACATTCAGTTTTATTTTAATTAGAGAAATATCCCCCCCCCCCTATCATCTTAGGGAATTGTTTCTTGTATGATGTTTGTATTATTATTGCAAAAATCACTTGGCATATCCAACATATCCGTTTGTCAGCTTTTATATCATTATATTTTATCTTGTATATCTTAATTCCATCAAAATTTGTCTCAATTACCCAGGTTAAATTTTGTAAAGAAGTAGAGAATATTCTCATTAGAAATCAAATATTACCATTCGTGATACAATTTACTAAACTTAAAGATATATGCTTATAACAGATTTCTAAATTTTTCTTCATATAGTTTTTGATTTAAAATTTTGATAATAATATCTCAGGTATCTTAGCCATAGTATTGATACCTAATTCCTTCCCAGAAAGGCCATTATATAATTTACATATTTTTTTTACAATTACTATTCTTATATTAAGAACCCCTTTATATTGAAGTTAATTTCCAATTTCGGAATAAAATAATGCGTTTATGTCCGTCGTGACGCATATTTTATTGGTAAGACATCAATAATTATTTATCAAAATCTGTTTAGTCCCTTTCTCACTCTCTAAATTATCATTTGAGTAGTTTTAGAACATAAATAATCAATTAAGAATAAATTATCGTATAATATAATGTTTAGATTATATCATTAGGCCTTGTAACTGCAACATGTCTTTGAAAACTCTGAGTCAGCACAATATAAATATCATTTTTATGACTATATATTCTATAATTCAATATATAGCATCCCTCCCCCACATATAATTAAAGGGGTAATATCAGTACATTCTAATAAATCAGGCACAAAGACCAGTCCGAAGCGGGCCATCAATAAAGAGACCTATTTTTTTTTAAAAATCCATGATAGGTGGAATTTTATAAATTTAAATTACGTATATTAAGTTAATATATGACATGGTTTCTTTTACATTCATTTACTTATTGCATATATTTTATATTTTTCTAAAATAACAGCTTTAGACCATAAAATAACTTAAAATTTAAAAAATACAGGCTAAATACGAAAATTCCTCTGAATCGGGTCAGAAATATTTTTCAAGATTTTAAACTATAATTTCTTTAAATAAGGGCAAGATGATTCCTGCAGAATGGTTTATGCGTAGCTATTAAATATGAAGTTAGTATATAAGTTTGAGGAAAACGAGGTAAAAAGGGTTCTATGAAGAGAATTAAAGCATTTAAAAATCTGGTTTTAAATTGCAAGACTAAGAATTTCCTAGAAAAATACAAGTTGCGTGAGAGGCTGCATCACTACAGCTTTTGATACCAAATCTGTGTTACGATTTTAATGTGCTCAAGGGAATTCCGAATTCTAGAGCCATAGTTATAATTGCGAACAAAATAACCTAAGTCTATCCTATTCATATGATATCAATTAGGGGGTTATAAAGCTGAGATAATTGCACTTATTACATTTAGGACTAACCTTTGACATAGGTAGAATTCCTCATTATGATCCTCCGTCCTAGCAGGGATCCGGTGCCCCAGCTCTTTAAAAAGGTCAGAGCATGAGAGCCGAACGATATTAGAGTCGTGGCGATTAGTGGCAGGAATGTATAGTTTGCAGATAGCGATGATGAATATTTAGAGAGTTAATTCGTCACGGCGTCTAGTAGAGCATTCCTATTTATATTGAAAGGCAAGAGGATCCATGCAGACAGGTTAGGAGTTTCCCCCTTTTCTAATGGATCATGGTAGAACCATTAGGCTGTTTATCATCGTAAAGGCCAGTAGGTTCGAGGGTTGACGAGATGCTAGCAGATTTCAAGGCCCTGGCAATAGCATCATTGCATCTTGAATCCTAATGAATCTGTCTCTACAGCGCTAGTGGTGCAAAGAGTGATGCCTTTGGAGTTGATCGATGTTTGACAAAGGATACAGTGAAAGGGTATCACCATATCACAATTAAGTCTAAGACCGATGGCGTGACGTATCTCATCGTTGATTAGGAGCTGGTAAAGGTTTCGCGATGGGAAAGCCTCGAGAAATTCGTACCCGCTGTCTTCGGAAATGGAGAAGAGTAAAGAGTGTTCCTCAGATTGGCTCCTCGCTTTGAGGTATGCAACGCAATTTCCAACTAGAGGCTTATCGCAGTCTTTCTGTAATGCCGATGAGGTAGGATCGACTAAGAGAGACTTCCATAGATCAATTGCCTGCAGATGCAAGAGGTCAGGATGTTTTTTGAGTGTGTGTATGATGGGCTCGCAAGACAGGCGAGGAGATGATATGAACGCACTAAAAAAAGGTAGGAAGGACGACCTTAAGCCAATGCTACCGGATTTGGTTGTTAAGGAAGCCTGTAACCAAGATAGGTTTCCAAATTTAAGATTGAGTATATCTTCTGTGAGGCATTTAATCTCGAGATCATGCGTAGCGAGTTGACATCAAAGATTTGCGATGATCGGAGTGTATATAAAATTCTAGGAATTAGAAAGTAGTTCCTCAATAGGAAGAAAGCTTGGTGGTTTGGGAGATGGGATAGTGTATTGCGCATGAGGAATACCTCTCGTGAAACATCAGCAAGGAACTTGATAAAGGACTCGTCTTTACTTACTGGAAATCCGAAGTGTCAAAGAGTTGAATGATGATTGAACATAAGATCGTGATTAAGGTCAATGACCCCAAGGGGACAATATTTGCTCTTGTCTGAATTAATTCGCAGTCCAAACTGCTCTCGTTTTTTATTATCTTGATTGCCTTCATCAATTTACCCGTTCCTGTTTGGTGAAATGGAAAACAGCTGATATCATTAACAAATATTTTGAACCTTTCAAAGAAAGGAAATTCATAGGATAAGAGTTTTATGTTTTTGAGGAGCGCCAGTCTAGTAGGTGATATTTCACCTACTGTATGGACTTGAGTTCCCAGAATGAATTGGTTCTTTTCTGATTCCAACTAGATACATTTAAATATCTCAACCGATGGATAATATTGTAGTTATTAAAAATACACAACTAAATAAAACTTTTGGTTTGGTTAAGATATTTACAAATATCTATAAGTAATCAGTAAAAGCGTTGTGTCAATGAAAATCTTCCGGCAACCTTCTGAATTTGTTGATTTTTACATTTCCTAACAAATAGCACTCAAATTGACTGTTTAAGAGAGATAATCATATCAAATTTTACCAAAGATATTCATGTTATATCGACTTATATCCAAATATTAACAATTTTAAATAACTGTAGAGTGTACATATTTTTATTTAAGATATAAAGCATATTTGCCTTTTTGCAAGTATGTCCTATCCTACATATTTATATAGTATATGTACACATATTTATCAAAACAAAAAATATTATAATGGTAAGCGATATAGGTTGTTATGTTAGAAAGGTTTGGACCACTATTTACCAAATCTCATAAATAATATTATTTTGGCTAAAATCTTAATCAAATGGTTTTTAAAAATTGACCCAAATTGGGCGTTTATAACAACACTAGTTATAATCGTAGCCAAGAATTTGGTAAGGGAGTGGTGGGGGTTGGTGGAACCACTAGTAGGTGGAGTTTCCCATTCATTTTTTGGACGTCTTTAGGGTTCACTTATTATAGGCCTTTGTCTATATTCAAATTTTATAAAAATAATTTTGATTTTCACTCTTTCTTTTCTAAAATTTTAAATTATAGTAGTTATTTTAAAAAGTTGTCGACTTTTACTAATTTCTCTTACAACTTCTTCTTTATATTAATATTTTATTTATATTTCTAAGGGAGTTGGTGGGGCGGGGGTGAGGGGTTTAGCGATTTTTTAGATTTAAATTTATTTACGAGAACAGGCAAATTTTTGGAGGAAAAATATTTTTCATTAACACATTCAAAACTTCTAACTGAATACAACTAATACTAAATTTTAAAAAAAACAACTAAGAAAACCTGCCACCACTAAAAATCACTATATTAAAAACCTCTAAAGAATGACTAGAATTTCGTGTATAATTAAGCATTTTACGATTTTTAAACTAAAATATTTTTTAGATTTTATATTCATTTACGCATCTGATCATTACATTTTCCTCTTTAGATTTCTTCTAATTTAATTATATAAATCGAGCATAAAGATAATCCAGATAATCATGGTCGCTAGTCATTCAAAAGCCACACTGAACCGTGTACAACAATATAGATAAAAATATCATTTATAAAATTGAAAAATTTCATTTAAAACCTATAGAAATAATATTATCTGATACTAATACAACATTAACATTAATTTATTTATATAAAATAGAAAGATTGCCTTCATTAAAATTAGATTAAAAAATACATTCGATTTATTCATTTTTAGCTTTGAGATATTTTTAACTTCCTTATTACCAGAGCAGAGTTTTTAAAGTACCTAGATACAAGTATGGTTGGGTAAGGTTATATCTCTATATGTATCTAGATACACTTTTATAAAAATTGTCAATATTTAGATTATTTCTAGATAAACCTTAGATATATTTTGATATAATCTGATTTTACGTTTTTTTATATTAAAAAGTAAGATTTGAATTCAATTGAATA